TCACTGTGCAGGTAGTACGGTAGCTGTCAGTGACGGGAAATCATGAGACCTGGGCCTGTTTCCCACTCATCTGCCATGTTTAACCAGATCTTCGTGCTTTGTCCAGTGTGAAATGAGGAGGACGGACAAAGAGCCAGGAAGGGCGGTGTGGTGAGGGGGCACAGGCAAGCTCTGTTTAATGGAATAAAAAGTAGCCCCTGGCTTTCCAGTTCTTCGTTATCCGTGGTTGCAGGTAATTCTGGGTGGCACAGAGAACTAAGCCTTGACTCTTCCACTTTGTTTTCTGTGTTTGCTTCCATATTTATTCAGAGTCGATTCCAAGTTTCCTGAAGGAACTACAGTCCCCTTATTTTGTCCCTCCATTGGACCCGTAAAGGGGGTACCAAGTGCAGCTGTGGATGATCACACCTGCGCAAAGGTGTCCATATGAAGTCATGACCTCCCGCCCTCTTCTGCCGTCTCGTCTCTGCCCGACGAGCCTTCTTTGTCTCTAGTCGCCTTCCTTTGCTGGTCTGTCCAGTGGCTTCCAGGAGCTTTCTACACTCCCTTCAAATATGCCCTGCCCAGCATGCCAGCCCCTGAGCAGACGCCCTTGATTTTCACCGCATAGAAATAAAAGATCATCGGGTAGGATCCTTTGAACTCCCATCCCTTAAGCCTGCAGGGTCGCTGGCATTGGCACCCGGCTGAGAAACGAGGGGCGAGTTGCCTCTTGCCTGGAGGCAGCCTGTGTGGGGCCCTCAGGCCCAGTCCTGTGTCCCGGCCCCGGCCCCACAGGCCGTCTTTCCCTCCCTGCGGACTCAGCTCAGCAGCAGGCAGTGCGGTCTCTTAGCTCCCATCTAAGAGTCCCAGAAAGAAAGAGAAACATCTTCTCTTGAGCCTGCACTTCCAGCTACTGCCCTCCTCTCCTCGCTCTCCTTCCCCTTCCCTTTAGCCGGATGTCATCACAGGTTGACCACACTCACTGTGTCCCCTTTCCCCCTGTTTTCTACCGTTCGTGCTCCATTTCACCCATCTCGTCCCCGCCTGTGGGACTGCTCCCCACCAAGTGCAGCAGTGACCTTCGTGGCTTGAAGACAGTGGGTGCTTCTTAGTCACCTTACTTGACTCTCTCAGCAGGTTGTAGCACCATTATGTCCTCTTTAAAAGTGTCCTCTTGGCTTCTGTGATATTTATCCCCTTTCACTTGCTCTTCTCCCTCTAATGTCCGCAGTCTCCTCTGTGTCTCCCCTTCCCTCTGCGCTTCCACTGGTGATGCTCCTCCACGTAATCTCAAAAGTCTTCTCACTTAACACACTTGCCTCAATGGTCTTGGCCAGCCCAAGTCTTCATTATGTATCTACATACTAATGAATCCTACACCTATTCATCTCGCTCAGACGTCTCTCTCGAACCTCCAGACCCCTCACATCCAACTCCCTGCTAGGTGTCTCCTCTTGTCTGGGTGACCCGTAGACCCCTCAAAACCAGGGTATCCAAAATCGACCTCATCTCCCCATCCTGCCCTCTGCCCCTGCCTCCAGTCCTGCTTAACCTCCTCTCTTCTCTGTTTCCGTGGGTGTTGTTACTACTCTCCATTTAGTTGTTTGTAAATTAGAAAACTAAGTGCTATTTTTAATCCTCCCACTGTATGGAGTGAGTAAGAGGAGATTTGACCACGCAACACAATGTCAACGGGGTCAAAGCAGAGGAGGCTTTCAGACGCGGCCCCTGCTCGCCATCACCCTCCATCAGTTACCAGGTTACTGTTGATGTCTGCTGCTTGCATCTCACTCATACCCATTCATTTCTTTCCATTCTCGCTGTCCCTACTCCCAATTCAGTCACTGTCATCTCTCCAGGATCACTGCCACATCTTAGCAATGGTTCACCTGACCCTAAGTCCTGTCCCTTCCATCCTAGGCCCTACGCAGTGGCCAGAGTGATCTTTCTAAAAATCAAACCAGATCATGTAGTTCCTGACATAAATCCCACAGTGGCTTGCCATTGTTCTTAAATCGAGGTTGCTCTTTAGCACGGGTTCCAGCCTGGCCGGTTCTACCTCCTGCTTAGCTCACCTCCAGCTGCTCTCTCCAGTTCTAGCCATACCCCCCTCCCCGCCCCAAACTGTGATTCCTGCAGTGACCACTCCTGTGCCCTCTGGGCTTTCACACGTGCCAATTGCGTCTGCCTGGACAACTGATCCCCAGCTGGCTCCTCTGCATTCCTCACGTCTTGGATTTAGATGTCACATCCTCCAAAAAAACGCTGCTTAACCTCACAAATCTGGATTACGACTTTCCTCCATGCTCCCAGAACATGATGCACTTCCCCGTCATAGCACCCGTCACATGGAATCGCAGTGGTCTGTGGCCACCGCCCGCCCGCCTGCAACTCAGCGGGCAGCGCACGTGGCTGCCTCGTGCTGTGTGTGTGGCGAGTGCACAGATTGCCACAGTGGCTTTTCCTCCTCCAACTGTGGCTACAGGTTAGGGTGAGAAAGGCAGCTCTGAAAAGCAGGCTTGGGGAGGAAAGGCCAGCACCAGCGAGCTGGGCTGCTTCCAAGTTCAATGCTAGCCAAGTTGCTTCATCGGAGGTGCCAGCAGTGAGAGTGACCACTGCTGTCCATTTCTTTCAGGGTGTGGCTTTGTGCTACAGATGTTGGTGTGGAACCCAAGACACCTTGATCCATTTTACCTTCTCTCTTTTGACCCAGGCTCCTGCAGGTTGGGTTGCTAAACAGATGTCGGAAATGTAGACGGAGAGAGTAGAAAAGTGAGAATAATCTGTAATCTAGAGATGAGTGAATACGCCTTTGGACATCCCAAGCCACCACCTGCTCCTGAGAAATGTTAGGTTGTTTTGCCCTTCTGGAATGCCTTAGATAAGTCTCTGGAATGTCCTAGATACTGTATTGTAACCTCACTCTCCTTCAAAGGTGACTTGACATTTTTTGCATAGTAAAGAAATAGGTGAAATTTGTGTTCTTTTAACAGGAGAGTTGTAAACTCTATTTCCATGGCCTGTGTCTGGGTGACATGTCGTACTGCCTCCCAGGTAGAAGATCTAGGCTGGACTAACACCTCTGGCACTGTGCCCGGTCGTCCCCGGGACAGCCAGGCCCTTACACATGCCATATCCAGGATCCCAGGTCAGGGGTTTTCTTCTAACCTCTATTATAATAACACCTCGTATTTGTGTAGAGTTTTTCAGTTAATCAAATACATATAAGATCTTAGTTTGACCTCGTCACTACTGTTTGAAGTAGGTGGCTCAGGGAATAGCATCCTCATTTCTACAGAGGGGAAATAGGAGAGCAGAAATCACACAGCTAGTCACTGAGGGGTGCAGGACCTGAACTCAGGTCTTACAATGCCCAGTGCTGTGTTCTTCCCATCATGCCACATGCCTTTGTGTGTTTCATGTATGCGAGGGACAGTTAATTAAGGCTCTCTTTTAAGATCAGGACCAGTTGACAGTCAGATATGGCTCATCACAGCAGTTTTATTGTAAATCGGCTGGATTGAAGAACAGATCCTAGACACCCAGCTTACATGGACTTCCAGCTCCTTACCCTGTGCCTCTCCTCCCCCGCCAGCTCCTTGCCCCCACTGAACTCATACACTGAGTCCCAGATCTGTACTGGGACAGCAGCAGGCCCTCCCTGCACGGAGGCAGAGGTGCCATCTCGCACTGAGGAGTGCAGGAGGGAAGACGGACTCAGACAGGCGGCTGGAGAGAGAGCTGAGCCGTTTCCAGGCCAGGCCATCCACGAGCATCGCCCCCTGGGGATGAGTGGGCGCAAGGAAGTGAGCGCAGGGCGGAAGCCTGTCCTTAGCACTTCAGGGTGCAGGAGCTCCTCTCCTATGGGCCATGTGGGGGGGGGTTCGGATGGGTCTTCTCGTGCAGCTCATTCACTGGGAGAGTACAAGGACCCCCTCTGATGTCTAACACACCCGTCCCCAAAAGTGTAGCAGGGGACTGAGCTTGTCGTCGTGCCCAACAAATACTTGCTGGCCAGCTCGTGAGCTTCACTCTGGCACAGAAGTAGCGAAGACAAGACAGTGTCCGAGATAGAAAGACCCAGCATATGGATGAGTGCGGATGGAAGACAGTTGCGCGTCACCCCTTTTACCCACCTGAAGGCGCACTGGCTGGCTGGCAGGCAGGCAGGCAGGCAGCCCCGGCGCCCCGTCGGACCGCGCTCTGGCAGCTGCCGTGAGCCGCCGACCTGGTGCCCCACGACTGTGCTCCCGGAGGGTCGGCTGGCCACGGCCTCCTCCCTCTGCCGCCCTTCCCGACCAGAGCTCACCGCTCACTTGTCCTCTTTGGAACGTGTCGAAACACAGCTTCTGGAGGCCACTGTTCCCCTTTTTTCTTTCTGTTTCCCAGCCTTCGTTCCGCCACTGGGAGAACCTTTTCCTTCCTTGCTACTCTACTCCTCACCCCATGCCCCAGGCAGTGTCCTGCCCTGTCTCGGATTGCTCTGTCTCAGCCTGGCAGGACCCAGGCATCACAGTGCTCCTGACGCTCTGCCTGCATCGAGAAGCGGTATTGCAGTGAATAAGGAATACGTTTTAAAATTTTTTTTGAAAGTACCCAGAATACCCATTTAGAATGTCAAAAAATGTTTTCTGTCTTTTAATAAGCTTTTGCTGAGGTACCAGCATTAAGAATAAATGCACTTTTTTAATTCAGTTTTATTTTTAATAGTGTAAATACAGTATTAATACACGCTACAATTTTCACGGCAAACAACCTACGTCAAAAGGAGGCGTTTATGAGCTAACTTAGAACTGAACTAGAACTTGTCATTTCTGTGGGGAGGCGTGCACTCTTCCAGGTTTAGAATAGCCGGTGGGGCACAGCCAGTGTGCTGTGTGTTCTGGAACCTTCTCAGCCTGATGTGCACAGGGTGGTTTGTACACTCTCTCTCTGTCAAGAACCAGACCACACTAGGAAGAGGGGGAATTTCTTGGCTTCACACCTGACGTGAGAACTTGGATGTGCTTGCCCCGCAGGAAAAGCTTTTGATATCACATACGTGCGCCTCAAGTTCCACACCAGCCGGCCGGAGAGCTTCGCCATTTACAAGCGCACGCGGGAAGACGGGCCCTGGGTCCCCTACCAGTACTACAGCGGCTCCTGCCAGAATACCTACTTCAAGGCCAACCGCGGCTTCATCAGGACTGGGGAGGATGAGCAGCAGGCCTTGTGCACAGACGAGTTCAGTGACATTTCCCCTCTCACCGGGGGCAACGTGGCCTTCTCCACGCTGGAAGGGAGACCTAGCGCCTACAACTTCGACAACAGCCCCGTGCTGCAGGTAGGCAGGTGTCCAGGGGTTGGCTTTGGAGCGGGCTGGCTCTTCCATGCACAGGATGGGCAAGACTGGGATAATGGGGACCTGTGGCCCCACCTCTAAGGTCGGGGTACAAGTAGAATCTACCCCAGTAAGACCAACAGCTGGACTTTATTTTGCCTTCCTGTGCACTCTCTCTAAGTGAAGGAAAGCAGTTTTGTTCCCGCAGCGAAGTTCGTTGTTTGTTCTTACGTTCGCATGCACTTGCAAGTATGTCCTGGGCTGTATAAACTTAACAGTTTTTTTTTTAAAGTTGGACAGTTTCAGCTTTCATGTTTGTACTTGAAGTGGAAACAGTTTGCTTCTGACCTTTTGAAAAGGGTATTTGAACTAATCTGCCCAGTTTTCTTGCATCCTTTCTTCCCTCTTCTTTGATTGGATAAAAAAAAAAAATACTGGGTTGCCCAAAAAGTACATATGATTTTTTTCTATAAAATAAAAGAACACATTTTTCATTTTCACCGATAACTATTGATTTGGATATTTTGAGTATGTTAGCCATCTCTGCACAGTATAATATTGATTGTTCTCAATTAGTGTCTGGATTTGATCGCTGTCAGCTTCAGCTGGTCTCCCATCTATGGAGCATCGTCCAGCGAGAAATCTCCAACAAACCACTTTTGACACGTTTGATCAGTCGCAGCACCTTCTGATACACTGCACAAATCCTTTTCTTGCATTTCAGTTGTGTTTTTCTCCTTCTTGAACTAAGCATAATATGCCAAAAATGTTGCGTATTTTCTTCCACCTTCACTATTAAAATGGCTGTACAACAATTCACCAATTTTGGTAAGTCCTTTTTAAATGCACGCTGATATGACAGCTGTCACAATACAATCTGACAAAATTGTTTCGGATGAAGTTAAAGACAGCTAAGCGCTACTGGAGCCATCTTATGGAAGTAACCAAACGAACTTTTTGGCCACCCCAATATTTTATTAGCAAGAGGAAACCACGGGAGCAGGACAGTTAAGCACGCCACCTCCCTTGTTATTGTGCAAGGGAATTCTGACTGGGTTTTTCTGGCACCGTTGTCAGTCCTGAAAACTCATCTCCTGAAGGCACTGGAGGTTGTGACAGGATGAAAATTCAGGTACCCCGGTGCAGCGCTCAAGCCTTGTCGTCGAAACTGATCCCTACTTAGCAATAGACAGAGTGAAGATTTCTTTTTCCTCAAATTCTGTGTACATATGTGGAGTCTTTCTGTATTGCTTAGGTTTCTGTGAATTTTTTTTTGTTCTGGCTGTTTGATCATGGAGGGACTGGTGAGCCTCATACTGTACGCAGCACATTAAGCCAGAATTGGAGACACTCCTGTCGTGTGGCCAAAACTAACCCCTAAATGGGGGCATCCTGTATTCATCGACTGAGATGAGAAATACTGGCTGTGGGTTTGCAAACGCCATGTACATTTTGTGAAAAGCTGTTGTGATTTCGCAGTAGGGAACCCCCCATTTGGGGGAGGGGCTTCATGCTTTTGTGTCTTCTCATTCTTTCTCTCTGGGACTTGGGATGCTCAAGACTCTTTTTCTGATTTGGTTGTGTGGTCTTGGACAGTGGCCAAAGATGAGAATATATTTCTCTGTGAGTCCAGTTCTTCTCTTCCATTGTATTTCTGTAAGCTGCTGTCTGGGAGATTATAAATCTTGATTTTGGTGAGCTCTGAGGTTATAGCAAGCAATGAATATGTTTGCAGTGGTCTTTCAGGAAATAAGAGGTGTTTATTTCCCGACTCTTTAAGTTGATCCCGCAAACGTTGGCTAGCTTCGCTTCTTCCCACAGAGCCCACTGTGTTGTGCCCTCCTGGAGAGGCAGCAGCGTAGGCAGTGGGAAGAAGCAGTGGCGTAATGCTGTGACTGGTTTTCCGGCAGCTTTGTGAACTCTGTGCCTTGTCAGCCTGTCTTGAAGCTGTTTCCCCAGCGGTGGGAATTCTGATGTCTGCTGCTCTTACTCCACAGGAACTCGCGAGGCTTACTTAATGTGGTAGAAATGCTGTGCGCCCCTGCAGCGGGTTTGGTCCGTGGGTGTCGTTAGGCAGAGACGTTAATGATGTGGCTCTGGACGGCAGAGCTCTGGCTCCGAGATCCAGTTGCCAGTGGGGTTACCTGCTGTGCCTGTCAGGTGGTCTGACAGTGAGGAGAGAGGCCAAGTGTCCTCTCCTGCTCAGCCCCTGGGCTGCCTGCTGGAAGCTGTGGTCTCCCATCCGGGGGAGGAGACCTCTCCTGGTTTCACTCCATGTATTACTGAGCACGCATTGATTTAGAGTAATACCGTAATTAGCATTTATTACAGCACTTAACCGTAATGTGTCATAGTGCTACAAGCATTGTTCTAAGCCCCTTAGATGTATTAGGTATTTTTTTAAAAGATTTTATTTATTAATTTTTAGAGAGAAGGGAAGGGTGGGAAAAAGGGAGAGAAACATCGATGTGAGAGAGAAACATCAATTGGTTGCTTCTTGAATGCACCCTGACTGGGGACTGAACCCACAACCTAGGCATGAACCCTGATCGGGAATCAAACTGATGAACTTTTGCTTTGTAGGATGAAGCCCAACGCACTGAACCACACCAGTCCGGGCAATATACTAGATAAATTAACTCTCACGACAACTCTGTAAGGTAGACGCTTTTATCATCTCCATGTCACAGATGAGCAGTCAGAGAACCCAGAAAGGATAAGATAACCTGCCCCAAAGCAGGCAGCTGTGAGTGGCCAAGCTGGGATTCAGAACCCAGGGAGTCTTACTCCAGAGTCTGCTCTGGGGAAGGGTCCCACTGAGAAAGACAAGAAAGAAGGCCGAGACTCGGCCCTGAGAAGCTTTTGTTCGGGAGCGCTGGGATAAAGGTGAAGGCTGCAGAAGACACGATAGGCATGAAACGCAGAGACGACTCAAAGGTTCCTAACCTTGTGGCCACGAGTGGGAGTTGGTGTCGGAGTTCCAAGTTTGGGTGCAGCGAAGTCATCCTCTCTTCTCCTCTCTGATTGTATTCGGAGGCCTCGTGGGGAAGAGCCTCTCTGAGCTCTCCGTGTTGTCCTGTCTGCCGGGTGTTTGGCGCAGGTTGAGCGGTGGCTCCTAGTCGGGGGCCTGCCTCCTGTCGCACATGGAGCCTCCGCAGAGCACAGACGCCCGCAGCTCTGCACTAGCTTGTTACGCCTCCAGAGGTGATTCTCAGATCCGTTCCCAGGAGGGGACAGAAGTGGAAGTGGTGTCTTTGGGTGGTTGTACGTCACACACCACTCCAAACTTAAGGGCTTCAACAGCCACACGTTATTGTTTCTCAGCTCACTCTGTGCAGCCCTGGGCTCGCTCCCTGGCAGGTGAGCTCGGAGCTGGGCTTCTCAATCCCTGTCTGTTACGTGGTCTAGAAGGCTGGACCAGACTTCCGCATGGGACGGTGGGACTATTCCAAGAGGACAGGTCCCAGTGCACAAGTGCTTATCAAGCCTCTGCTGGTGTCACATTTGCTGATGTCCCCTCAGCTAAAGCAATCGCACGCCCAGGCCCAGCGTCGGCGTGGAACGGGGCCACACAGGGTGTGGGCACTGGCAGTCATGATTGCTTGGCATCATTATCATAACAGCCTACCACAGATGTAAATATCTGACTAACATTGGCTCAGTGAAAGGGCATTTATTATAAGGGCTTTGCTCTCCTAAAACCTCGGGGTAAACTACAGCCCCCATTCTCATTCTTGGCCATTGTGGTCCATCTAACAAGTCGCTCAGTTGTGGTTTCTTCAGATTCATTCATTTGCTCAGCAAATGTTATTTGGGCACCTCCTATTCTAGAGAAGCTGCAATGAACAGAACAAAAACTCCCTGCTTGTGTGGGGCTTACAATTTGCCGGTGATGGTGGCAGAAGTGGATGATAGGAATAAAATAGGGAAGGGAAATAGGGAGCTTGGGGAGTGTTAACGATTTTAGATAGGGTGGCCAGGGACGGCCCACAGAGAAGTGGCGTTGTGGGGAGGACCAAGACAAGACCGACCCTGATTGGTCCAGGCCACCGTGATGTCTCTCCCAGATCTGTGATGTCTCTCCCAGACCTGTCCTAGTGGATTGGGTTTGGAGAGATGGTACCAAATGGGCCGGAGGGGACAACAACCAGTATGTCTTATATGAATGCGGCATCACCCAAGCTCTGTGCTTGCATCTCTGACTGGGTCTGGGGTGTGGATACAGGCTGGGGAGAAAGGGCACGTGTATCAAGCAGCTGGTGTATGCCAGGCTTTTAGAGGTATATTTATTTCCTTCTTTTTTTTAAAAGATTTTATTTATTTTATTATTATTATTTTTGTTTTTTAGAGAGGGAAGGGAGGGAGATGGAGAGAGAGAAACATCAATGTGCGGTTGCTGGGGGTCACGGCCTGTAACCCAGGCATGTACCCTGGCTGGGAATCGAACCTGTGACACTTTGGTTCACAGCCCGCGCTCAATCCACTGAGCTATGCCAGCCAGGGCTAAGTATATTTCATTTAAGCCTCACAACAGCCTTTGAAGAGTCTGGTTTTATTCCTGCATTGGGGGGCTCGGAGTGGTAAAGTAACAACAAAGATCAAAAAAAGGAAGAGTCAAGAAAGAAAAAAATATTGAGAAATTAAAGGAACCGTTGAAGATTACAATAGGTGTGATATTAGAAGAGGACATGAGTTAAATGCCACATTAACTATTTAGAAACCATTGTCGCATTCATGCCTCTTGTCTTCAGCCCCATCACCTGTTTTTTCTGTTTTTGTTTTTGTTTCCTCCCAGGAATGGGTAACAGCCACTGACATCAGGGTGACTCTCAATCGCCTGAACACTTTTGGAGATGAAGTGTTTAATGACCCCAAAGTTCTCAAGTCTTACTATTATGCAATCTCCGATTTTGCCGTAGGTGGTAGGTAAGTTATCTGTTAACAACCTGGAAAGTGATTGGGGCTTTGGTTGAGAAGTGCATGTAGCAACTGTTTACAGTTATATTAATGATGTTGTTAGAACTCATTATCATGGAAACAACGTACATCATTAGGTATTCTAAAACCTTTCTCAAATCAGCACACTTAGTGAATTCTCATTGACAGTTTAAGTACAAAGTTCTGTAATAGGCACTACGAAGCTGCCAAGGAAGTATAAGACTGACATGCACCTAACCGAGAAGAACTTGACCTTCTAGGATCCTATAAATGACTGGGCAGGCAATGCATGAACATGCAAAAAATTAAACACTAGTGTAGTCCTGTGTTTTAGATGACAAGATGCCATATGCCCGAGAACCCCACAGCACTGGCAGGCTAGAGAAGCAGGTGGGCTGTCAGCTGGGTCTGGAGGGATAGGTAGGATTTGGGTGAGGAGGATGAGGTGGGGAGGATGTCTGGGTCGGGTACAGGAGGGTGGGCATGTCAGGAACAAAAGTTCAGAGTTTAGGAGAGTGTGAACCTACATGACTTAAGGAAGAGCCCTTACATGAACTTGTAGAGTTGTGAACCAGAGAGGGAGTTTGGTAGCCAGAGACCTTCCACAGCAGGAGAGAATCTGGGACTTGCATCCCCTGCATTAAACTATGAGGCCTCAAGGGTGGAAACATCATTTTTGGACACAGTGTTCCTGGTGTGGACTGATGCTCAAAGTTATTGGAAGCTGCCACCATGAGAAGTGATATAGTTTTTTTGCAGTTGAGCTGTGATGTCGAAACAGGATTAGAAAGGTTAGTGTGGGCATGTATGGAAGAGTAGAGTGTATGTGGGAGAATTTCTACTCTCGCTCTGATGCCGTGCAAGCGAGGAGTAGGTGACCTCAGGGCGGTAACAGTAGAATGGAGAGGGACATTTAGATGCAATGTATCGTGAAGGAGGAGTCACCAGGATGTGGTCAAGGGTGACTGCAAGGGTTAGTGAGCAGGAGAACAGTGGTTCCATCACCAGAGGAGCTGAAGAAGATGAGCCGATTTGGGGAGGTCATGAGTTTGGCTGTAAACATGTGAAGTTTAGACGCAGACATCTAAATCCGTGCAGCAGCCCAGGAGCGTGGAGGAAGCACAGAGCCGAAGATGTAAACCTGTGACTCATCCCGGTCGTGCTGTAGACGTCTCGGAAGTGTCCGGGTGTGTTTCTAAGTGGTAGCTGGAGCTCTGGAACCAACTGCCGTCTTCAAGGAAGCAAGGGAGGGAAACGCCAGCATGCCAGAGCACACTCTAGTCACTCATGGGGATTTCCACGAGTCCTTCGTTTACGGTTTCGCCTGCAACGAGGGGATCCTTCAAGGATCCTTACCCCAGACAACCCGTGGGACTAGCAGGCTGCCAGAGATCCACCCGGTAGTGAGGAATCCAGCGGCTCTTGGCTGCCTTCAGAGCGGAACACTTTAAAATCATCGTGGCAGATAATCGCTGACCTAATTATTTACCTGTTATGTGCCCACGCAACCCTGGGCACATAAATAAAGCACATTCTTGATCCTCCCGGTAACCCTATGAAATACACATCATCATCATCCATACTTGACAGGTAAGTTGCAGGGCGGGGCTCGAAAACCGGGCCGCCTGGCTTCTGAATCCAGGTTCTTCTTCACCAGTATGCTTGGCTGCTGCTTGACACACACGTCTGACCTCAGGAAGCGATTCTGCGGATGTCCTCAGACATTGTTAGGGGCTGTCTTCTCATGTCTGATTTATGCCCTGTCCCCCATTAAATAGAGCTGCCTTTTTGTTTCCCTGTTTAATTTGTCCTCACACCCGGAAGCTCAAGCAGCCCTTACTTAATCTTGCTCAGTTCCTTGGTTCCCAGTTTCGAATCTCAAGCACATGCAGAGGTGCTTGTGAGTTCCCCGGGTGCATCCTTTTCCTGCATCCATTTCTGGGGCTTTGGAGCAGTTTCCTATTTTTGAGCGTGCCCTTCCTCCGCAGGTGCAAATGTAACGGGCACGCCAGCGAGTGTGTGAAGAACGAGTTTGACAAGCTGGTGTGCAGTTGCAAACATAACACGTACGGGGTGGACTGTGAGAAGTGCCTGCCTTTCTTCAACGACCGGCCGTGGAGGCGGGCGACTGCTGAGAGCGCCAGCGAGTGCCTGCGTGAGTGCCCGTGGCGTCTGTCCGCTCGGTCACCGTGCGAACTTCCCCGGGTGGAAGAGGGGACGGGTGCCTTCCACCTCTGTCCCCTTGAAGGGAACACTCTGAAAGGCAGTGCTTCCTCTGTGATTTGAAGATGCAGGATAAGCAACCGCGTGCATGCCAGGGGCACGTCAGAGACGAGGCAGTTGGCTGTAAACATAAACTGTGCTGGTCGCGTATTTCCTTCCTGAACACACACCAGGGTGGGCGCTCATCGGCAAGGCCTGGCACTTCGCTTAGATCCAAATACTGGGCCATTGCAGCCTGCTCTCACATAATGGTTTTTCTAGTTTTTTTTCTTTGTTGCCCTTTAAAATATTCATCTTCCTGTGATGCTCACTGACTCCAGAGCCAAGGCCATTGATGAACACGTGTCAGCTGCAGTGAGTTCTAGGCTGACACTACCATTCAGAAGCTTGTTTGTCAAAATAATTATTTTTTCCTGAATCTCACTGAAGAGCACGATGGGGAGAATTTTCTTACTCCTGTCATGCAGAGGTGGGTGGCTTTGGGCAGAAAAGGAGAGACTAGTATTCCCAGGAAAGGGTGAGCTGGAAAAGATAACATGTTGTTTATTCCTTCCGTGTCTTTGTTTATTACGAACAGATAGAGGAAGGAGTCTCAGGAGAAAGAAACTGAAAACATGTGATTATGACTTGCCAAGGTCTTAAGAACTTTGAGAACAGCTGTAATTTTCTGACGTCCTTACAAATACCCCTTATCACATTCTCTTGGGAATGGAGGGAATTAGCAAGAAGACACTCTGAACTTGCAGGAGTTGTTGGCAGAAACCTTGAGAAAGAATTGATATCTTGACTTAGGACTATTTCCATGAGCTGCCTAGAGCAGATTTTCTTATTCATCTTTTCTTTCCTTTAACTAATCCCAGATTTGCAGATTAATTTTATAGCCTCCTCCAGCATTCCTAAGCAGTTGCTTGAGCTGCTTTAATTCTTTTACTGACCCGTAATATCCAGTGTTGGAAGCTGCATGGCAGAGGCTGGCAAAAGAAAGAAGGAAATATTCCTAAGATGTGCCATCTAAATAAATGTACACATGTGCTTGGAGAGTTTTCTCTTTAACGACCTGGCCCTATGTAGAGGCTGTCCAGGAACGTTGTGGGAACACCGGATGCACTCTGTCACCAGCTTACCACTAGCGAATGAGCTGAGTGTGGCAGCTAACGGACTTGGATGAGGAATGCAGTCGGTCTGCTTTCCTCTCTGTCCCTTCGGCACTGGGACCCCTCAGAGAGGGAAGTTCCTGGAGGCTGTGACAGGACTCTGGTGTTTTCCAGGGTCTCAAGCTATGGAAGAGAAAAGGACAGCTGCCTTCTGTCCTCCCAGCTGCTGCTGAGGGAGCCGCAGCCTGTGCTGTAGCTGTGGGTTAGAACAGTGGGGACCAGGCATTTTCTGGCTCGTGGTCTCCGAGCACCAGACTCTTTCAGTGGGGGTGGCTGGGCGATGGCAGGACAATCTGGGGAGAATCGAGGGCAAAGAAGTAGCGACTGAAGGAGGGAAAGGGAGCTATCAAAAGTTACTTAACACAGCTCTAAGTTTGGCACCAGTGATTCAAGTTTGCACAACATTTTAAGGGCCATACCATAAAAGAAGTGATTGTAAATGATGGAAGAAAAGAAAAAGAAAACATGTATATTCAGATATTCTAAAACAACAACTTCCTGATCTCTCTGAAATCAAGTAAAGCTTTATTTTTAATTAGTGCTCAAGATACCACCTGCACTTGGGGCCGAATCAGTAATTCTGAGAACATCATCTGAATATAAATATAATAGAGAATTTCTGTGACTGCAGCTACTTGGGCTTCAAATACGGCTGTGCCCTGTAGGGGGCACCGTTAGTTACATCACAGATGACTTGGTCAGCACTGTGGCTGGCTCGCCCGTGGGTGCACGGACCTGCTGGACCCCCTTTAATCTGCCCACGTCTGCACAGGCGCTGATGTTGACGCACGTGCCTCAGGTTAGCCCAGTCTGGAGGTGCAAGTCATCTCTCATTTGAAAGTTATGATCTTACTGTATTTGAATCATCCGAGGCCTGAAACGTTAAGGTAAATTGAAGCCTGCCTACACACTGGCACCTTGTTCTCGGAGTTGAGATAAGGATGAAGGATAAAGATTCAGAAAAACGGTGATTGGACTTGGCTTTTACTTGCGTGTGAACAATGGCCGGGAGATGCCTTTTACGATAGCGCTGTTTTTGATAAGGATGAACATTTCCTAGTTTGCTAATAACCTGGCTCTATAAATCCCTTATTGACGTATTGTTTTTCTTTTCTTTCTTCCTTTTTTTAATGAACAGTGCATCTGGTAGCCAACATAGAGACAGGGGAGAAGGGAGAGGGAAAGAGAGGAAGACAAATATCAGTTGGTTGCTTCTCATAAGTGCCCTGACGGGGGACTGAACCCACAGCCTTACGCATGTGCTCCCTGACCAGGAATCGAACCAGCAACCTTTTGCTCTGTGGGATGATGCCCAACCAACCGAACTACACCAGTCAGGGCTCTGGTGGTCTTTCTTATTCCAACACCACCTGTCACAGAGATGTGGGAAATGATGGTATGGGTTTTTTTTGTTTTGTTTTGTTTTGTTTTGAGTCTTGTAAAAACACTATTTGCATAGGGACCCGGGTCTCACTTAACTCGTGTGTTTGCCTGACAGCCTGTAACTGCAATGGCCGAGCGCAGGAATGCTACTTTGACCCTGAACTCTACCGCTCCACCGGCCATGGTGGCCACTGCACCAACTGCCAGGATAACACCGATGGCCCCAACTGCGAGAGGTGCCGGGAGAATTTCTTCCGCCTTGGGAGCACGGACGCCTGCTCTCCGTGCCACTGCAGCCCAGTCGGTGAGTGGCGGGCGGCGGCGGCCTGATGGGGTGGGAGACCTGGGCGCGGGGGAAGCATTCCCTTTACTATTACCTCCTAGGCAGTTGTGCAGGTTCAGCGTGGAAATGTGGACATTACTGTAATATGTAAATGATTCAGGATCTGCCTGTTCCCCCACCTCCCTCCACTCTCCTGAACCACGTTGTGGGACTTGCAGATGATTTTCTGGTGTGTATAAAACTGGGGTTGGCCTGAGTAGTGGTTTGGAAATAATTAGCAGCCAGATCCTAGAGAACTATTTGAATTTGACTGTAAAATGTTAGCTGATTCGTGAGTTCTTCCTTGTTAATGACTTTGTTTAGTCTGAAATCCTTAGTGTGCTGAACTTTTTTAGGTTAGTGTATATTCCTAGCTGTCATGTGCTCTTAGTCCATTCTGTTCTCTCAGGAGTTTGACCTTTGTTTCTGTTGTTCGTGCTGGTACAAACTTAAACTCTGGACACGACCCTCAAGGAGCCCGTGCTTTCTCCCAGAGGAGGGACAGGCCTTGTATGTCTAGTTTTCCACTGGGTGCGGAGTGACCTGTTAGCGTTCTGAGCGTCGGTCAGTAGGGCATGCATCTGGGAAGGTAGAATGAGATGGCTTCAGAAGGTCTGGTTTGGAGAGAGTTCTGATTTAAAATTGGATCTTTGTTCTCAGTTACCATCAGGAGATTACACGTTGGTTTTCTGGCATTGTCTTTAGTTACCGATTGCCTTGCTTTGACAAAGTAATGTTGCTTATCCACCTGGTGGCTGACGTGCCTTTCCAATTGCAGGTTCCCTCAGCACGCAGTGTGACAGCTACGGCCGCTGCAGCTGTAAGCCAGGAGTGATGGGCGACAAGTGTGACCGCTGCCAGCCTGGATTCCATTCTCTCACTGAGGCAGGATGCAGGTGAGACTCTGTCAAAACCAAAACAAGGGGGCAGACTCTGAAGGTGGTTCCCTTCGTCATGATAGGTCTCGTGGCGTATACCTGCAGCAATATGAACGTTTGTTCCCGAAATAATTGTCAGTAAAATTCAGGGCTCCTGGCTGTAACGATGATTCCGGGTTGTTTGTACAGAGATGAAGCAGAGTTTTACTATCTAAATGTGATGGGCATCCTTGACTGAAACCAAGTCTAAACCCAAAAATGACATTAATACTTGTTTTGCCGTGTTACGTTTTTCCTTTAAAAAAAAGTATTAACACATAAAGCCAAAGGTGGACTGTAAGAGTGTCGTTTCTTCCCCCTGCCCCTTCTCGCATTGTTCCATCCATTCTCCGTCCGTCAGGCGGTGCGCATGCGACCCTGCTGGCAGCACGGACGAGTGTAACGTTGAAACAGGAAGGTGTGTGTGCAAAGACAACGTCGAAGGCTTCAACTGTGAGAGGTAGCTCCTTCTTTTTCGCGCTGTATTATGTCTTCTCTGTTACCGTATTTCAAGTACCAAAAAAATAACTCCTGATGGTGTCTTAATCGTTTTCAGATGCAAACCTGGATTTTTTAATCTGGAATCATCGAATCCCAGGGGGTGCACACCCTGCTTTTGCTTCGGGCATTCTTCTGTCTGCACGAACGCTGTCGGCTACAGCGTCCACTCCATAAGCTCCACCTTTCAGATCGGTAATGGAGACCTTGCGTCCCCTAGAAGTGTGTGACTAGACTTAGGGTATTTAAGAAAAAAGTCAGTAACTCTTCGAGGGTTTTCTGAGGGTGGCAACACTTCATGTTTTCTAATGAGCATGATTTTTCTTATTTGGCTTTTTTGCTTCTCTGGTTTTTTGGCTTGTTTTTTATCATCCTACGTAATTTCTTTTTGTGGTTAGTAATTATTTTTTAACTTCTTAATGTTTCAACTACAGTTGGCAGGCAATATCATACTCGTTTCAGATGTGCAGCACAGTGGTTGGACCTCAGTAAATCTAGTGCCCTTCTGTTATCACATGTAGTTACTACAGTATTATAGTATTATTGACCATATTCCCTATGCTGTACTTTATGAAGACGTACATATGGTTTTTAATTCACCATAGTTAAATGTTACCTAAAGTAAAGCAAAAGATAGACTGGAAGGTATAGTGTGTATAGGTGCTGTTGCAGGATTCATTTATTCAGAAGCTTTCATTGGTGTCCTTCTCTGTACTCTTTCTGTATTTCTGTGGAGCACAGAGGAGGCGCATCCAGGGTGTTTCCCCTGTAATGGTGCTTGCGTTTCCTTCCTCTGCTTGCAGATGAGGATGGGTGGCGTGTACAGGAAAGGGACGGCTCTGAAGCGTCCCTGGACTGGTCCTCCGAGAGGCAAGACATCGCCGTCATCTCAGACAGCTACTTCCCTAGGTACTTCATTGCTCCTGGTAAGTGAGGCCGGCAAGCAGGGTGGCAGGGGTGCGCTCCTCCAGAGTCTCATTCTTACGTTCCTGCCCCGTGTGTCTGCGTTCCAGCCAAGTTCTTGGGCAAGCAGGTGTTCAGTTACGGACAGAACCTCTCCTTCTCCTTTCGAGTGGACAGGCGAGACACTCGCCTCTCTGCGGAAGACCTGGTGCTCGAGGGGGCTGGCCTGAGAGTGTCCGTGCCCTTGATCGCGCAGGGCAACTCCTACCCCAGCGAGACCACTGTGAAATACGTCTTCCGGTAAGACCTCATCACTGTACAGTCTGACTTGGCCAGAATTATAGCAGTGGTTTCTTTATCTGAGCTTATCAGGCCTCAAGGTGAATGTTGAAGAAGAACTTCAGGGTTCTGAGGGGGTCTTTGTAAAAGGGAGCCTTCCCCTTGCTCGCCTGTACCCCTGCCAACTGCACTGTCAAACTGGCAGACTGGTGTCTGACTCGCCCAGATTGTGGGAGCATTGCGTGGTTGGTGGCCTAAATGAATAAGAAGTGCTTTTGGACCCCAGAGTTGTCCTTACAGAAGTTAATGTGGCCTCTTCTTTCTTTCCAGGCTCCATGAAGCAGCAGATTACCCTTGGAGGCCTACTCTTACTCCTTTCGAATTTCAGAAGCTCCTTAACAACTTGACCTCCATCAAGATCCGTGGGACGTATAGTGAAAGAAGTAAGTCATGACATGATTGAGGAGAGCTGTTTAACAAGATGATTGGGTAGAAGGAGTCATAATACGCAAAAGGGAATCTCTCAAGTCCTAATACTATAATACTGATCCTGAAGAGTGGTATAAACCACCTCCTTGTACATGAATTATGTATAAAAAAAGTATTTTTTAACAACTTCTAAGAACCTGGAGAAAACTTGTTAAGATTAGGAAATACTGTTGTTTTATAATGGATAAGGATGTTGCAATTGATTATACTATATGTAAATAGATTGTCTAAAATTTCTGAATATAATTTTACCGACTCTCATGTCTTCACCTTTATTTTTATTTATTGCTCTGTAATTGTCAAGCCTCTTCATCATCAGCTAAATTATGAAAAATTATAAATTACTGGATAAACATTTATTATAACTTTAGGTAAACAAAGCTGTCTTAAGTATGCCTTTAACACTTTTTTCCTGTAAATTTTTGATTGTAATGAAGAAAGGCAGGACTGGGAAAGTGGGCTCAGAGGGGCATTGGGGGTGGCCTCAGCAGCAGGATGTGTTGGTTCCTTTTTTAATCGAGGTGTAATTGACAACATTATATGAGTTTCAGGTGTACAACATAATGATTCAATATTTGTATGTATTGTGAAATAATGGCCGCAATAAGTATAGCTAAACTCCATCACCACACATAGTTACAGAATTTTCCCCTCGTGATGAGAACTTTCAACAGTTACTCTTTCAGCAGCTTCCAAATATGCGGTATTGACCGTAGTTGCTGCGTTGTGCCTCACATCCCCACAGCGGATTTATTTTATATCTGGAAGTTTGTAAACCACCAATCTCTGTTCTCTGTAGCTATGAGTTAAATGTTTTTGTTTTTTTTGTCTTCTTTTTAAAGATTCCGTGTATAAGTGAGATCTTACGGTTTCTGCTTGCTCTGTCTGAATTATTTCATTTAGCATCTTGCCCTCAAGGCCTCGGATGCGCCGGTTTTTGAGATGCCTGCATGACCCCCCAGATGAACACGTCTCATAAGCACAGTGATTGGGAATACGGATCTGGGGCTTAGGACTGGAGATCTAGAATTAAAAGATTGTCAATATATGGGCAGTAGTTTTTAAACTTGGAAACTTGGAAGAGAGAAGAGAACATGCAATTCTGGAAACATAGTTATTTAAGGACCATGCCCTGAGCCTCAAGAGAGAAAAAGAATTTTAAGGAGGAGAAACAATTAACAAGTTTAAGGAGATAATCCCATTGGGTTTTGGATTGGGTGACCAAGGAACCGCTGGTTAGGGGTTTTTTTTGTTTGTTTAAGAAGCGTTGAAACTGCAGTGCTTCGATAAGTAATTTGAAGGTCAAGAAGTAAAGACTATTCCTTTAAGAAGTTTGGCCACAAGGGTAAGGAAGGAGATGGATTACTTAGGGACAAGATGGAAGGAGGAATGCTTTTAGGATGGGGGGACTTAAACATGTGCAGCGTTGGAAGAACGTCAGCCAATGGAAATGTATCTCATGATCTAATTGTTGGAAAAAACCATGAACATATTAAAAGTTACCTGAGTTCAAGGCAGTAATAGGAGAGATGTCTTTCAGCCTCAGGTTATTGAGTTCTAAGAGTTATATAAGCAGCAAATGGTACGTGGTAACACAGGGAAGTACACCTGAAAGATTGGCCGCCGGAGACAGGCATGGGACGGAAATGAGGGGGAAGTGTGGTGACGTGGTCCAGGCCAGCCTCCTCCGTGGTGCGCTCCTGCTGTGGGGTTGGTGGGACCGTTGGTCTAAGGCAGCATGAGGCTGCTTCTGTTGTTATTTTTTTCTGCAGGTGGGAAAGCATTGTGATACACGACGACTATAATTGCTTTGGAAGGATTGCATACTCTCTGAAGTAGCCCTGAGTATTAGAACTTGTTTGCTTGTTTTTGCTGTTTAATGCAGGGTGAAAAAAATATAATTGAGTGGTACTTGTTGACAGGAGCTCTGCCTGCTTTCTTGTCCTTGAACTCGACAGTCAGTGTCGGCTTCTGTCACAAAAGAGCAAAAACACGACTTCGTGACTACAGACTTAAACTCTTCTTGTTTTCTGTGTTCTTGCTCTTGTATCTCCTCTTGCCCCAGATTATGGTCCAGGTGATGCTTTTCATGGTTAATATTGGTGATTGGGAGAAGGGTAAAATCCACCAGCCTTGGGGGAGTGTGTGTGTGTGTGTGTGTGTGTGTGTAAAAACCTAAGTTTGCTATACTATTATTCCAGACATAGCACCAGCTACCACATGATTGTTCTAAATGCTGTTTTCTGCTTATCTTCTCCAGTAAATGCACGTACTAAAGGTTGACTGTCTCTGGAATTTTGGGTCTTGTTGCTCTTTAATGTCACTGACTTTTCACGAGTCTTTGGAAAACAGAAGCCAGTTCAGGGATTCTCTTTCCCACCCGACACGCAGGTGCTGGGTATTTGGACGATGTCGCCCTGGCAAGTGCTCGCCCTGGACCTGGGGTCCCTGCCACCTGGGTGGAGACCTGCACCTGCCCTGTGGGGTACGGAGGGCAGTTTTGTGAGTCATGCCTCCCGGGCTACAGAAGAGAAACTCCGAGCCTCGGGCCGTACAGCCCGTGTGTGCTTTGTACCTGCAACGGACACAGCGAGACCTGCGACCCTGAGACCGGTAAGCGGATGCTCTCCGAGGGCTGCTAGGCCTGAGCGCTCGTTAGCAGGTGGGTGGGGAATGCTCATTGCCTTACTGGCCCGTTGTCTCACGCCCGCTCTCCACGCAGGGGTTTGTCACTGCAGAGACAACACAGCCGGCCCCCACTGTGAGAAGTGCAGCGACGGGTACTACGGAGACTCAACCGCGGGCACCTCCGCCGACTGCCAGCCCTGTCCGTGCCCTGGGGGCTCCAGCTGTGCTGTGGTCCCTAAGACTCAGGAGGTGGTGTGCACCAACTGCCCCACGGGCACCACCGGTGAGTCCGCTCCTGCCGTCGGCCTGCAGGGTCCCGTCCCCCAAAAACACCTTGGGGAGAAGGGCTTTAGGGTGTCCACATTTTTGTTTGTTTGTTTGGCTTAATGATTGTGATTTTCCTAGTAGGCCAAGTATTACAGAACACAGGTTTATTATAGATTTACAAAATGCATATCAGGTACTGTTAATAGCTAACATATTTAGGGCCAGGGACTTCCCTGCTTCCTGAATCCTCATGACCCTGTGGGGTGGGTTCTGCTCCCACCCCCACTTTCCAGCTGAGAAAGCTGAGGCACAGAGACCTGAAGTCACGCGGCCAAGCCAGCAGGCCAGTCGTGGGAGCAGCGAGCATTTCAGCCCAGGCATCACCCCTGGGTCACGGCAGTGCGCGCCCCCTCATGAGACGAGAGCCCAAACTTGGTTTTTAGTTTTGTGGGACTGTCATCCTGGGCGTCTTGATGTAAGGTGGTAATGAAAACATTTGTTTGCATTCTTTCTCAAAATAGTTCTTCCAGAGTATCAGAGCCTGTCACATATAGTTGGGAAAATGTGTTGTTTTTTTTTTGTAGCTTTGGATAGGCCAGTGTTTTCATTCTCTGGGTTTCTTTCTTTTTGATAAGAACACAGAACTAGATCTTTCCCAGCTACTCCCGCCTGCGCCCCCGGGCTGGCTGACCCAGGAGAGGGAGGTTCACTGGTGTGGTTTCACTTCTTCCGTGGACTCCAGCCTCCACTGCTGGGGAGCTTCTGGCCGCGCTTCTGATACAGCCTTTGACTCCATCACAAACCTTTTGTTCCAGAGATGTTGCTACAGAGCATAAAAATCAGTGGAAAAACAAAACAAAACAAAACACTGAGCTAGTAGTCTGTGTCTCTTGTGTTCCATCAAAACATTCTCTGTTCATTGGGCAGCATCCAAACACGCCGTCATCCTCACACCGACCCCTCCCGAGCACGGGGCGCTGCAACACAGAGACTCGACCATTTGCTTAAGATCGTTGAGAAAATAAGGGGAGGACATTCATCTAGAATTGCATATTTTTTACTCTTTCTGACCCTATTTTTTGTTTTAAATGGGGCCCCGACAGAGTCTTGCACAGACAGACTTCTCCGGCCTTGTTCCCCACCACCCACTCACACGCAGCTCCAGCCCTCCGGGGCTTCCTGTCATCCCGCAGACGGCCGGACCCTGTGGCCTGCCATGTGCTGTTCTCCTTCAGAGCGTCTTCCCCACGCTCTCCATCCCAACCTCCCTTTCCTCGGCCAACTCCTGCTGCTTCTGTGGGGCTGGGCTGAGACATCACTCTCCCAGGAAGGCTTTCCCCTGGACGCCCCCTGCGCGCCCACCCCACGTCCTTCGGGCCCTCTAAATGGCTGCCACGGCAGCTAGTGAGCACCCGCTGGCAACAGCTCCTCTTCGAAGGGCTTCGTCCCACGCTGGATGGTAGCTCCCCTCACTCACGTTGTTATTTCGCTCGACAGATGGCAGTTGCAGAATGAAACGGTTAAGCATAGTGGGGTCATTCTCACCTCTGTACAAAGTAATACCAGTGGTGGATTGAGACTGTTTGGGATGCTTACTGGAGAGATGGAGTATAATGTAGGAGACCGTGGGAAATGTTGTCAACCCGCTGGTCACTAATGAGATGTTTCTCACACAAAGCCTGTGAAATGTATTTGTTTTATTAGTTACCACCTGGCTTGAAGGGAATGACCTATAGCAGTTCTTGAGGCTGTTAATTAGGGCGTAGATGTCCATAAAATAGCACACTGTAAAAAATACTCTGATTATTCTCCTACCATGCTTTATATTTTTCATAGCAATCTTTAACCATTTGGTATTTTTATATTTATTTATTTATTGTCCGTCTTCCCCTTCTACTCTTCCACTCCCCACTGACGCTCCCTGAGAGCAGAGACCTTCAACTGTTTTACACACTTGTGATTCCCTAACACTCAGAATAGTGTTCTGCATACGTGTTTGTTCAATGAATACAAATATTTATTGACTGAATGAATAGAGATTGCAGAGACAAGGTAAGATTTCTTCATTTAGAAGACTTAAAGAATGTAAACAACTTGATAGTCACTGGGATCTTAAAACATCGTTTGCATTGACATTTAATCTTTAAAACCTCTGAGGTAAATTAATGACAACAATCGTTTTTCAACCAGTTTTTGAGTGCGTGGTGTCGGGAATATAGAAACGAGGAAGGGATGGTCCCGACTCCTCAGGGGCTAAGAGAGCGTGGAGGGAAGCAGGGATCACTGAGTACAGTGCGGTGAGTTCAGATGGAGGGGTGCACACAGCGTGCAGAAGGGGCAGGAAGACGCACACCCCTCCCACTGAAGGGTGAGAGGGCACGGAAAACCAAGGCCCAAAGGCATATAACCTGCACAAGGTTGTACAGGTCGTACAGCCAGGACCTGAGCCCGCACCCCAGACGGGACGGCGGGAGGGTGAACCAGCTGTAGCTGCCAGGGGGTGTTTTGGAGCGAGAGCTTTTCATGCGCTACCATGTCGCTGTGTTGTAAGTTTTCGACCAGATTTTTTAAATTAAGTGTTATTCAGAACAGGTTTTGAGACATTTTAAGGGTGGATCCTGTCTAGAATAGCTAAATTATCTGGTGGAGAAGCAGAACTGAAATGCTGTCTTCATGCTGATCTGGACAGGGGTCTCGGCTGGGGGTCTGGTAACTGTTGACAGTAGAGATGAGCAGGCCCCCGGCTTCCTCTCCCCTCTTAGCATCTTATTTCCACACCGCCACCCCCGCGCCACCCCAGCCACGTTTTCTGGTCGCCGCTGGCCAACTGCAGTGGTCAGTGCCAGTCCTCGTCTGACCTGACCACAGCACTGGACACTGTGGATGGCTTACCTTGCTCCACACCTTTCCTCCTCTTGCCTTTTTTGACACTTCCCTCCCCTGGGTTTCCTCCTACCTCTCTCCTCTTGGGTCTCCTTCTGTCCCATCTGATTCTCAACCCAGAGCTTTCATGTCATCTTGATGATGCTCTCCCCGCAGCTGAGCAGACCCCATCCCCAGGCCTCAGAGCCTCTCTGTGCTACAGCTGCCAAATCTGTCCCTCAGCCCTGACCTCCTGCTCCCGAGCGCCGGCTGCCCGCTTGCCAGCTCCACGTGGGTGGTGGGCTGGAAGCCTGCACGCCCCTCCTCGTCCATTCTGCATCTGTGTCCAGCCTGATGAGACCTGCACACACCGCATCAGCCGGCAGCCTCCCTGGCGAGGGCAGAGAGTTCATTCCAAGGCTCCCTCTCTGTAGGATCCTCGTGGTTTGGTGTCCTTAACCCAGGCTCTCGGCTCCTGGCAGATGGCCTTCTCCAAGCGGTTCTTTCCAGTCAAGGTAGACACCGTTAGGTACCGGGAGTGGCGGCCTCCACCCAGCCCCTGTGGCCCCGATTATAGAGCCCACCCATGGACCCCGTGGCTACTGTTGCAAGTGCTACATCCTTCTGCGGTCTCCTGCGCTCTGCCCACACTTCTGTAGACGGTGTCTCTACTAAATGCTCCTCAAGCTCCTCAGGTCTTGCTAATTGGAATGTGCCAATTCTTTTCTGCCACGACCTTGATGCAGGTGATAAAGGAATCTCAGATTTCAGCAAATCCAAGCGTAAGTCTTGGATGTGCTCTTTTTCCTCTCTTGGCGCCGTTCCATCCCCAGTCTCGTGCATCTCAGGAAAAACACTCCCACCCACCTGGTTGCTCAGGCTCAAACCCTAGGCATCGCCTTGTTCGTCTTTCTTTCATTTCCCGGAAGCAGTCAGCCAGCCACTGTGACTGGTGCTCCCTCAAGTCTGACCACTTTTCGCTCCTTCCGCTGCCGCCCGCCTGGTCTGCACCGCCCTGCCGTCTCCCTGCTTCACCGAGTACTGGGCTTAGTGCGGTGGGAAGGGCCCCGGACTCTGTCCCTGTCTCCCTCTCTGTCCATCCGCCTTTTGGTTGTGGGCAAGTTCCTTAACCTCTCTCACTGTCCCCCTAGCTGTGACAGAGTGGGTGGTAAATGACCATCTCCAGGTTCCCTCTAGAATGCCCAGAGTCTGTGCTAGCTGATGCTGCTCGAACAAGGGTAGCATAAGCCGTTTGTTTTTTAAAAGAATGATCCTCTGCACCCTGCTGTCTGGGACAGCCGTGGTACCAGGAGTCACTTTCCATCTTCCTTAATATCAACAAAAACGAACGTATGTGAACGTGCCGTCCCTTGGGACCGGAAAGGTTAATGACCCTGAGCCCGGCTCACTCACACGGCACTTCCAGCGTGTGACTTCAGGTGATCCTCACAACAGTTGGTGTGAAGTGGGCCAGCCAGGTGCCACTTTCCGATAAGGAAAGGAGGATGTGCCCCAGGTCACTCCGCTGGTTTGGCACAGTGCCGGGACTGCGGCCTGGGTCCTCTGCTCCCCTGGGCTGGTGCCCGGTGTGCGCTGCGCCACGTGGCTTCCCAGCCGGTGGTCACACTGGACTGCCTGTGACCAGTGGTCGCTTGTGAGCAGACTCCCCAGAACCAGCAGCGCCAGAAGTACCCAGGGCCTCTCTTTCCCAACGTCGGGTTGTCCCGTTCCCAGGTAAGAGGTGCGAGCTCTGTGACGACGGCTACTTCGGAGACCCGCTGGGGACACAGGGCCCCGTGCGGCTCTGCCGCCTGTGCCAGTGCAACGACAACATCGACCCCAACGCGGTCGGGAACTGCAACCGCCTGACCGGAGAGTGCCTGAAGTGCATCTACAACACGGCCGGCTTCTACTGCGACCGCTGCAAGGACGGCTTCTTCGGGAATCCGCGGGCTCCCAACCCGGCAGACAAGTGCAAAGGTGATCCGCCGTCCGCCGCTCTGTCACAGCCGTTCTCTCTCTCTCTCTCTGAGAACGCGCCGTGTGGTCCCTTTAAACACTTACAGTCGTTTGGTCTGTAACAACACTGCCCAATGAAATAGATGCACACCACTTATGTCACTTAAATTTTTCTAGCAGAGACTTTGAAATGAAGAGAACCAGGTGAAATTAATTTTAATAATCTGTTTAATCTAACCTACTATGTCTAACATATTGTCATTTCAACAAGCAGCCAGGAATACATTATGGAGATGTATGTCCCCCTCCTGCCCCACCTCGCACCAGGTCTTCAAGACCCAGCGTGTGTCCCACCTCCCCAGCACACCTCCGTTCAGAGCAGCTGCATTTCGCGGGCTCAGGAGCAACAGGCGGACCGATGGCTACTGTATTGGACAACACGAGTCCAAAGAGCCTATTTGAATTGTTTGCATTTCAGTATTTCTCCCAGGTGATTCGCCTCTTTCGCTGTCTCTGTCTCCCCGCCTTAGCCTGCAACTGCAACCCCTACGGGACCATGCGGCAGCAGGGCTCCTGCAGCCCTGTGACCGGGCAGTGCGAGTGCCTGCCTCACGTCACCGGCCGGGACTGCGGAGCGTGCGACCCTGGGTTCTACCACCTGCACAGCGGGAAAGGCTGTGAGAGGTGAGACGTCGGGGGCCTTTGGTAGAAGCAGTCTTTGCTTGCTTTGCTGTGAGAGATGCGTTTTTATGAGTTACCATTGGTTTCACTTTGTTCTGAAATTACTTGAGCGCCTTGGGGAGGCTAGGCACCCAGGGAGGCCATGCCTGGCAGTTGGGATTAAGCTAATGGGAGGAAAGAGTGGAATGCAGCAGCCCTGGCTGTGTTAGCATCACCTGAGCAACATTTAAAAAAAATACACAGCCCTGGCTGGTGTGGCTCAGTGGATTGAGCGCTGGGCTGTGAATCAAGGAGTTACTGGTTCGATTCCCAGTCAGGGCCCATGCCTGTATTGCAGGCCAGGTCCCCAGTTGGGGGTGCGTGAGAGGCAACCACACATTGATGTTTCTCTCCATCTCTTTCTCCCTCCCTTTCTCTAAAAAATAAATATTTAAAAAAATAAAAAAAATACACAAATTACAAGATCCTTTCATAGATGTTTAGACTCAGACCTTCCAGAGTGGCGGGTGGGGAATTCCTGTTTCCAGAGTGCCTGGCCGGTGCCTCTGCAGTGCCAGCGTGGAGAGCCACAGGTAGCGGGTTACACAAACACTGCTGTTTAAACACTGTAAAAAGTGTCTGTGTGTCAAGTTAGAGAAAGAGGTTGCAAGTAGAACTCCTGAAGATTACTTGAACCTCGGGGGCCCAGTAGCCCTTAACATTGTTTTCTATTACAAATTAAGTCAGTCCCGTGCTGGGAGGCGGGGGAAAGTTTGCTTTAAGTCTGTTTTTCTTCCCTGTCGTGTTCATTCCAGGTGTGACTGCCATGCTTTGGGTTCCACCAACGGACAGTGTGACATCCGCACTGGCCAGTGTGAGTGCCAGCCCGGCATCACCGGTCAGCACTGCGAGCGCTGCGAGGTCAACCACTTCGGGTTCGGCCCCGAGGGCTGCAAACGTAAGGGCTGTTGCTGGCACAGAACCCCCATCTCCCCCGATTCCCGGCGGCACCACAGAGAGGTCCCGAAGCGATGTGGACGGCCCCAGTCCACAGGGCTCGCCGCCGGGCTGGCCCTAAATCATTGTCGATGCTGGGCTCAATGAACATTACCCTTTCCTAGAATCCTGGGAGTTGAGAGCTTCCCCGGTTTCTTCGCAACCTCCTTATTTATGTCTTCTTTTATAGTGTTTCTGGTTCTTCCTAATGTCAGTCTTTTTATTTTCCCAAAGAAAAGTTTCCCTTTGATTACCTAACTTTTCTGCTGTGCTTAGTAAAACTTTTTATTGATCACATTCCTAGTGCACATAGTGAAAGAAGGAGAGATTCTGCTCAGAACATGTTTGTTGACCTGCTGGCTGCAGTTGCTGGTTGCTTCCCGCCCTTGGGGCGCTTTTGGTGCGGCTGCGTGTCAACAGCTGCTTCTCCTTGGCCCAGACACTTGCCTGGAATTAGGCCTCAGAACAGCTCGGGGTTTTGCTTTCTGAATTCCTGCATTTCTCCCTTGGAACATAGCATAAGTCGTTGACTCAGTTCAGAGAACAAAGTGGGGAAGCAAACTATAAAGTAATATAAAATAAGCATTAGCGTTTGGGTTTTCTAGTTCCTTAGTAAGAGAAATAAACAGCAGAGAGATGAATTCTTGAAGTGCACCAAAGGGCACTGACTCGTTTAATAGACTAATATCTGTAATTATTAGTAACATGAAATGTAACCCCCTCAAAAGGATGCACATTTTACTTTAAAATTTACTTTTGCTGGCAAAATTTCTGTATTCTTAGCTAAGCAGACTTAACCACTGAAATTCTTATAAATCAGACTTTTTTTTTGTAAGTCTGCTTATAAAGATCATCCCATGAGCTTACTGGTGGCCTAAGTTAAAAGAAAATGTGCTCTTTCTTCTTTTCCGAATTACGTTGTCCTTCCCCTTCCTCCTGCAGCCTGTGACTGTCACCCCGAGGGCTCCCTGTCACTCCAGTGCAAAGACAACGGCCGCTGTGAATGCCGAGAGGGCTTTGTGGGAAGTCGCTGTGACCAGTGTGAGGAGAACTATTTCTACAACCGGTCTTGGCCTGGCTGCCAGGAGTGTCCAGCGTGTTACCGGCTGGTAAAGGACAAGGTGAGCTGTTAACAGAGCGGACATCCATTCATTTGTAGTGCAGACGTCGAGTGGCCCCTCCCTGCGCCCCAGGCTCTGGAGAAATCATGGTGGACATGGGAGACACAGCCCCTGTTCTCACAGCTGCGTGTCGAGGTGCCCGTCAGAGAGCCGGGTGGGGATATCAGGACGGTAATCTAAAATGCCAGGGGGAGGTCGGAACTGGAGAGTCATCAGCACGTAAGGTTTAAAGTCAGAGGAATGGAGTGTAGATAGAGCCCAGGGAATATAGTCAATATGGTAATAACTATGCACGGCATTTGGTGGGTATGGAAGTACTGCAGGGACTACTTTGTAAAGCACACGACTGTCTAACCACTCAGCCGTACACCCGAAACACATACAAAATAACATCGAATGTAAATCCTAATTGAAAAATAAAATTAAGCCCTGGCTGGCGTAGCTCAGTGGATTCAGCGCGGGCTGTGAACCAAAGCATCTCAGGTTCGATTCCCAGTCAGGGTACATGCCTGGGTCGCAGGCCACGGCCCCCAGCAACCGCACATTGATGTTTCTCTCTCTCTTTCTCCCTCCCTCCCTCTCTAAAAAAATAAATAATTAAAATCTCTTTATAAATAAAGAAAAATAAAACTAAAAAGTAGAAATAAAAATGAAGTCAATGGGATGGGCTCCACATTTTTTTCTTTCAAAGCCAGAGAAGTAAAGACACACTCCCCATGCCGTCTGTGTGCATGCAGACATGCGTGTCTGTATACATGTAGACGTGCATGGAGTGTCCAGACCTGCGTGTTACCCAGCGCCTCTGAGCGCCGTGCCTGCAGGAAGTACCGCTGAGTTCTTCGGGAATCCTTGTATGGCCCACCTTTTCCTTTTCTGCCTTCGTTGTGTGTAGGTTGCGGAGCATCGGGTGAAACTGCAGGAGTTAGAGGATCTGGTGGCGAACCTCGGAGCTGGGGGCGAGGTGGTGACGGACAAAGCCTTTGAGGACCGACTGAAGGAAGCAGAGAAAGAGGTGACGGCGCTCCTCCGCGAGGCGCAGGAGGCCAAAGGTACACATGGGGTCCCGGCAGTGGGCGGCTTCCTCAAGGCAGGCAGTCTTTAGGCAGTCAGGAGGTGGCTCCGGACTCAGGGTGAATTAGTGCCGTTCTGTAAAGTTCTTCCTCGGTTTTTCAGCTACACTTGTGGGTTATGGATTATTTTTTAAACAATAAGTGAAAATACAGGAACTTGTCAACTTAATGTTTTAAGAAACAGTAAGCATACAAAATTCTCCCATAAAAATAGTTTTAGATGGTAAAATTGCAACTGTTTTATATAAATTGTGTAAGTGTTCCGAGTAGTTTTTAAAAATCATTGAAGGTGTGTATGATTTTAAGGAGAAAATTTTAATATCAATTTTCTGTCATTCTAGTGAGTAAGAATTCATGTTAGGCACTGCTTTATTTCCTTAGAAAGGACTCTCATAAGGAAAATTGTGGTCTTCATCTGTTGACGGAACAGCTACTAAATGTATAACACTTAGTATTTGCTAAAGTAAAGATTAGAAATCAGTGCCTGCTTTTGAATTTCCCATTTAATATGGAGCAAGCCGGTGTGCTAGTATATACAAAAGTGTGTGTTTTTACATGCTGTGTCATGTGTAATGTCATCTGCAGCTTGGTGCGCTCTCTGTGTCTCTGTGCGTCGCCTGGTGAGACCGATGACAGCCGGAGAGGGGGTGACTTAAGATTTAGAAAACAGTTTATTTGAAAATACTTTATTGACTCTAAAAGAAACAGTTCTGAAACTTCAAAAGTAAAGAAATGTTCAACAATTTACGCGCTTTTTAAATCCCTTTGGATTTTGATTTTGATTTCTTACTCTCTGAACTAAGCTTTTCCCTAAATTTGGATAGGTCCTTTTCTACACTGATGGAGTGCCTGTAGTGTGCCAGGCACTGGGCTAAAAAAACAGTGGTACAAAGATGATGAGTGAGACCCTGTTCCTTCTGTCAGGGTGCTCACCACGTGGCTGAGGTCACTTTGATTTGGGGCATTCCGTTGCGGAGACACAGTGTCCCTGGGTACTCAGGGCAAATGCGCTAACATTGGCTCACACCTGGACCACGTGGTGGACTTCCCTGCTGAGTGTCCGAATTTGTGTCCACCTGGGATCAGAGAAGTGTTCCTGTTAAAACACAGGTCAACAAAAACTAAACACATTGCTGACTTCTTGTTGTAAACATCTCTAATATCTAGAGTTTTGATTTATAAAGTTATCAACACAGAGAAGGAAGTCATTGGGGACACCTGCTTTTGGCCAGCTTTATTTTCATGTGAGAATCCAGAGTGTGTGCTATGAGGTACACTTGTAAAAATCGAAATATGAAAGAAGAGGACCATAGTTCGTATCTCCTTTAGGTGTTTATCTTTTGTTTTGATTGTAACATTTGAAGTACTAAGAATACATTAAGAGGAATTAAATGTTTCCTGTTCTTTATCAACAAAAGTGGTGTGTCTGATGAAGGAAAGGTTTTCCTATTCCAGCACATGCCAGAGTTCACCACAGAGTTTTTAGGATATCCATTCCCCAGCAACAATGTGTGACACGCGTTTTGCCATTAATGCATTCTTTTGAAACAACTTCCCCTCTGTCCTGCCACGTGCATTGAAGGATTGAAATGCGGGGTTATCATTCTGAAGTGCCGTCAGCCCGCCTGGGCGGTGGGGTCTGCACACAGCTCTGGTGCCGGCAGCACCAGCGCACGCGAGTGGTCGGGAGGCACGAAATGGGGGCCACCCGGCACTGCCCCTCGTCTAAGGTCCTGTCTCAGTGCAGCCCCAGCTACATCTAGCTCCCTTCGGCCACAGTGACTCCCTACTTCCTCTGCCAGGCCGGTGACTCTGTTGGACACGGGCTCTGATAGGACATGGCCATGGCATTCCTCTTGAGCTACCTGAAAGGTGGGGGAGGAAGTGAGCATCTGCCTCCCAGAGCTCTGGGAGTACCATCGCAAGGCTGCGGTTAAGGTCCACTCCCACTTAGGCCTTATTCGTGGAGTTCCTGGCTGACCTTCCTACTTGGGTCCAAACTAGCCAAAAATAAAAATATCTTTGCAGTGATTTATCTTTCCAGACTGTCCCGAAGCAGTCGTTTGTAGTTCCGACGTGTTTATTCTGCAGCTTGAAGAGGCGATTATATGGTGCCACTAGGTCTTGCAGTTAGAGTTACGGAATTGGAAGGCCTTTGAAGTGACTCTACCAGTTGGGTTATCTGTTCTCTGGTCAGATTCTTTGTTCCTCTGAAGAACTATGCACAGAGATTGGTATCTGGTACATTCTTGAAGCTCTAGCGGAGGTGTCCCACCTTTTGGCGGCTCTGGGCCACGCTGGAAGAAGAAGAGCTGTCACGGGCCACACATTGAATACATTGCAACATGTAGTCACAAAAAAACCTCACCATGTTTTAAGTAACTTTATGATTTTGTGTTGGGCCACATGCATAGCCATCCCGAGCACATGGAGCCCGTGGGCTGCAGATTGGACACCCCTGAGGGAAGGGGCTTCCAAACTTTCCCTGGTTGCTTACACCTACCTCCTAAATTAAATGATTTTCTGTGGCTTCAGTTTGTTTTATCTTTTGTGTTTTCTGTAAAATCTTCAGCTTATCCAAGACTTGTGTAAGGAAGCCTCTCAGCGGGTGCCCTGGGTGGAGGTAGGCAAACGGTGTGCAGTGAGTGGCCCAACTTCGCACGTGGATTTTGTCGGCCCTGCTTGCACGTCGCTGTCTCCCAAACCTGTGACTTATCTTCACTGATCTTAACTTTGACCTCTCCTCTTCCGCACATTCCTCGGAACACTTAGATGCCAACACTGAGCCTCCTGCTGGAAACAAGAGCTGGTCAGTTTTGAGTAGGACTTACCTATCGGTTCGTGTATGTTAATATATAACCTCATGATGTGAGAATTTTAAAAATGACAGAGTTATATTTGTAAGGACTTATATTTTATCTTTTGATTTATCAGGACCCGGGTATGAGGCTTAAGTCGAATGGGCTGAATTAATAAAGAACAATTCGAAGAACTATTTAAAAGCAGAAATCAGTTTTTTACACAGATACGCCAGAGGTAGGGAGTGACAGGAAGAGTCTGTTTAGTTTAAAATACAAAACGAATCTAACTTGCCATACTTCAACACCTGAATCTACTTGCTTCCTAGTTTAAAAAAATGTCCGGCTCCCAGGGCTGGGATGCCCTTAACAGTGTGTTTCTGTGATGAACCCCGGCACATGCTGGAATAGGAAAACCTCTCCTTCATCAGACACGCCTCATGGGAGTCTCCTCTTTGCCAGTCACTGTGTGAAACTGGGGATATTACAGTGATGAGGAAGAAAGACGAGCTCATGGTCAAGTGTGTGTGGGACAGCAGGGCACTGTAATTAGACTGGCCGCCCCTGCTGTGCTGACGGGCTTAGGGGAGACTTGTCAGAAGGGTGCTGTGTTGGCTTGGATTCCGTGGGAGGTGACGTGCCCCCCCACCCTGCGGGTAATTCATGCCCCTTCTTCTGCGTTTCCGTTGTAGATGTGGACCAGAACTTGTTGGATCGCCTCCAGCGAGTGAATAACACCTTATCCAGCCAAATTAGCCGTTTGCAGAATATCCGGAATACCATCGAAGAGACTGGAAACTTGGCTGAACAAGCACGTGCCCGGGTGGAAAGCACAGAGCAGTTGATTGAAATTGCGTCCAGGGAACTTGAGAAAGCCAAGGTTGCCGTTGCCAATGTGGTGAGTGATCGTGATGCTCCGAAGTGGGGGTGAGAGTGGGGGCGGGGACATCCCTTGGTAATTGGCAGGAGGTGTGGTGGGGTACGCCTTCAGCTAAATTGACTCCTGGTGTCCTTTGGTTTGTCTCTAAACTTGGAGCGAGAAAGCCACATTTCTCATAGCAGTCATGTAATTGTTATCGGGAACTGGATAAAAACCAAAGGGTCCTTTCTCTAGCTCTGTTCTTTCTACGGCACGAGGCAATTTGAGCTTCTTTCACCCCTACTGAAAATAGAAGTCATAAACCACAGTCAGGAATGCTGCTGAGGTTGAAGATCTCTGAAATCGAGAAGAGGCATTCTTTTTGCTAAATGACACTATAGAAATTTAGTGTTGAGAACTTGCTTGATTGAAGTTAAATAATCCAGTCCTTTAAAACTGGTGCTCTGTTTATTCCCTCTGCAGTCGATCACTCAGCCGGAGTCTACGGGCGACCCCAACAACATGACCCTGTTGGCCGAAGAGGCTCGCAAGCTTGCTGAGCGGTAATCTCCAGACCCCCATGTAACGGCTTCCCTGCCGCGCGGCCGTGCTCTCCCGTCCCGTGCTCACAAAACAGACCCTTTCCCCGTCACCCACTCCTGCCAGGGCTGCTCTCTCTTCTGAAATGTTTTCAGCTGTGTCTTTGCCTGCCTTTAGTTGGAAATGAGAATATTTACTTTGAATATTAGAGTTTGATGACTTGAAGGGAAATTATATTTGCACATCTGAAAAAAACTTACATTTTTAGATGTTTAATTTTAAAACCTTAAATAGGTAGTTAAGAAGCTCGATAGAATTCAGTTATTTTAGAAATTTTTAAATGTTTAATTAAAATGTTTGCTTTTCAATAGAAAACTTTTACTAAGCCATATGTGAAAATCAGCCAAAGAAAATAGACCATTTCATTCTTGATTTTTAAAAAAAATTAAGTGTCATGTAATTTTTAAGAAGATTTTCAATTATAGAGGGCATCAAGTCAAAAAAAATTTTTTTAAATAAAATTGCTAGAATGTAAGCTTCTCGAGGGTAGGCATCTCTGTGCTTCATTCCCCGCTGACGTCCTCACTGCCTGGAGCAGCGCCTGGCACACGGTAAGGGCGAAGCCACGGTGAATGCATCGCAGAGCGGCCTGGCGGCCTCCTGGGTGTGCAGGGCAGGCGTGAAGAAGCCTGGTGTGGGAGTTGCAGCCTCCGTGTCGGGAGCAGCTACACTGGCAGCTTGCTCAAACCTGTGCTCTCTTTCTGTGACTTGTGACCATGTGAGCTGTGCAGTTCATTCAGTTCACAGAACATTCGTGGTTTCACGGCTGGGTTTTCTGATTACGAGGAGACAGCCGAACACACGATGGAAGGCTCCCGAGCGAGTTAGGTTCTTGATGAGTGAATTTCAGTGTACTTCATTCATGGATCTTGAAGAAGAGTTTGTCATACCAAAAGGGTGGATACTTATTGCAGTGTGACAATATAATACAAAATTTTAGAGCTAAAAAAAATTTAGTGGTTACGCAGCTAAAATGCATTATTTGGCTGGAGTGCCTGTTGATATGTTTCTTGCTGTTTGGGGTGGAGTTACTTTTCTGGGCCAGTAATTGGGTTGCATGTAAGAAATCCGAATAGTCAAAGCTATTTCAAGACTATGTAGTAACTGAACCAGAGGAGTGATGAAACAGGCTCAGTCTGGGGCTTGTGTTTATGGGTAGACATGGGGTTTGTTGCTAGTGCACATGGTTTCATGTATATGAATTTCTCCTAAATAATTATTATAAGTAAGTTTCTGAGGAAATGTAAGCATTTGCTCCTGTAAGTTTTATACCATTAATTTTCTTGGAAAATACTATGTTTCTCAAATTACAGAATGCTATTTATACACTCAGGCCCCTTGAAATGATTACAGAATTCCAATTTCATAAGATTTTCTGATACCTACAGTTGTATATATACAAATTAGTATATGTACGTATAATAATAAGGTTACCATTACCTAAGTTTTGCTGCTTTCTCTATTAGATAGTTCTGTTTCATGGGTCATTTTTCCTTATATGTTATTCAGCCACAAGCAAGAAGCTGACGACATCGTACGAGTGGCAAACACAGCCAGTGACACGTCAACTGAGGCATATAACCTGCTTTTGAGGACGCTGGCGGGGGAAAACCAGACAGCACTGGAGATCGAAGAGCTGAATAGAAAGTGAGTGAACTTTAAAAGCGGCTGAGAGGCACTTGGTTGTTCTTGCAAAGTAACACCCATTCGGTGAAAAATTAAATGCCGGCATGTTCAGAGCATGTGTTTGTGGAGCAAGAGTTCTTTTGTTCATCATGCTTTTCAGATGGTTTTATAATCAGAGCAGGGATGGAGAGCAATGGAGATTTTATTTGATCCAGCTACTTGGACTGCAGAAAATGGTAACAGGACTAGCCATGATACTCAAAATTCTGCATAAATGGAAACAGAAGAGGAAAAAAAATTGTAACAAGAGAGATAATTTACTTGAGTGATAAATACTTGAAGTGTATCCAAAATGAGAAAAGGATAAGTAAACCCTGTGTTATGCATAGAAGACGTGAGATGAAATACAAATTTCAGCTATGTTGGTAGCGCACAATAGCATTTTAACGTGGCATTTTCTTTGAGGTTTTGGAAGTACTATCATAGCGATTTCAACTAAAATGAATCCAGTTAATACCAAGATGCCAGAAACAACTGAGTTTTCCGCTAAACCCCACCTCTTGTTGCTCAGGTACGAGCAGGCGAAGAACATCTCGCAGGATCTGGAGAAGCAAGCTGCCCGGGTGCACGAGGAGGCCAAGCGGGCCGGCGACAAAGCCGTGGAGATCTACGCTAGCGTGTCCCAGCTCACTCGAGTGGACTCAGAGGCCCTGGAGGTAGGGGCTTGACACTCTGTCTGTATAGGGCTCTGGTTGTCACTACTGTCACGCACCCCAGTCCCACCCTCCCCCCGCCACACACACAAACACACAGTCAGGGTTAGAGCTGTTCTGCTGCCCTGCAGCTGTCGCGGGGACCTGCCTCTGAGGTCCGCCCACTGACGGTCAAGTCCTGTTTTAGATACGTAATAGAACTGATTGGAGGGAAGAGTCCTGTGAGTATAAGCATTAAAAAGCAAAGACTATTTTCGTGGTATGAGTAGTCCCCCCTAAATTTTTAATATGCATCTAGATTATAATACACTTGCATTAATTAAAGCAGAGTGCACCTGGACCATTAACTTCCAGGCACCATCTGGTGTGAACAAGAGAGAAATGGTTTAAATCGGAAAAAAAAGCTATCAGCATTCTCTGGGCCAGGTAAAACATTTTGGAATTGGTGGTTTTTTTATTTCACCTGCACTCGAATCATGAATCTGCTCTCACCAGGCTCTGGATAAATGGTGTATTTCAACATGAACTTGAAACTTAGTATAATCTTACCTCTTGCACCCAAGGTGTGGACTTGATTTTCACCATAAAGGTTGAGGCCTCTTTAGGCATGTATGTACCGTATGATTCTGCACACAGTAGACAGAGCTCATTGGTGAGGGTAATAACCAGACCAATGAGCTGCATTATTGGAAACGTGGGTGTGGAAATTGACTGGAAAGAGATGCAAGGGAATTTCCGGGGGTGGAAATATTCTGTATCTTGATTGGGGCGTTGGTGACAGGTGAATGTGTTTGTCTAGATTCATCAAACTAAGTGTCGTGCCTGTCACCATGTGTAAAGTGTACATCACTTTTTACAGTGAGGCGTGTATCAAATCTTGAGCAATGCTGTTCTTCTAAAAATACCTATTGGGTAGTAAGTATTGTAGAGTCACTAAGCCTACCTTTTCATCCTTCTGTTTTATCTTAAATGTCGTGATCTTATTTGCCTTTCACAGAACGAGGCAAATAAAATAAAGAAGGAAGCCGAGGACCTGGACCGTCTGATCGACCAGAAGTTGAAAGATTATGAGGACCTCAGAGACGACATGAGAGAGAAGGAATATGAAGTAAAGAAACTTCTGGAGAGCGGAAAGGTCGAACAGCAGGTTGGTTTGATTGGCGGGTTGCTTCATTGCTTGGGGCGAACATGGAAACGGTCCACGTGTTAGCTGCCTCCAGAATGCTACTAGAGCTGCGGAGGCGGCACAGCAGGAGGCATTCAGAGGGGCCTTACGCGGGACGCCCAGGCCTCACCTGCTGGGTGCCGGCCAGTCTCGGGGTGGTGGCCTGGCAGCCTGATCCGTCAGGAGAGAGGTGGTCAGCCTTGGCCGGCCTGCCCTCTGATCCGCCCTGTGTTCGCAGACTGCCGACCAGCTCCTCGCCCGAGCCGACGCCGCCAAGGCTCTCGCGGAAGAAGCTGCCAAGAGGGGAAGAAACACCTTACAGGAAGCCAACGACATTCTCAACAACCTGAAAGGTGCGAAAGGGTCAAATAGAGGGCCCCTTTGTATGCTGCCTCCACAAGGGCGAGTTCCTTTTTCCTTTTCCTTTCTTTTTTACAGAATTGTTACTGTATTTTTTCCATTACCATTTAGTCCCCTTATCGTCTCTGATGATACACAGCATGAAAGATTTTATAGTCATCACCACCCCTTATCTGCGGGAGAGTACATTCTAAGACTGCTGCTGGATGCTTAAAGCCATGGATAGTATACATACCTATGATAAAGTTTAACTTATAAATTAGGCACGGTAGGAGATTAACAACAATAACTAATAATAAAATAGAACAATTATAACAGTGTGCCATAATGAAAGTAACTGAATGTAATCTCTCTCAAAATCTTACTGTAGCATATATATACTGCATGGATACAGTATGCCACCTTAAAAGTAATGAATTGTTTCCAGAATTCCCTGTTTCACATTTGTGGACTGTGGTTGACCACGGATAACTGAAACAAAACCACAGACAAGGGGGCCTGCTGTGGCATACATAATAAACCCCACATACCTGTCATCCACGTTCAATAGTTAGGGTTTTTACTGCACTTGCTTCATCCCCCAGCGCCCAGCTTCCATTGCCGGTGACGTATTTCAGAGAAAAACCCCAGAGCGCATGTCCTCTGACCCCTGCATGCCTCGTAAGAAGAAAAAAAAGGAAGTTTTCTTACGGTGGGGTAACATGCATAACCCAGCTGTGCCTATTAGCTGACCTGTACTGGTGAACTGACCTTCCGTTTTCTCTGCCAATTACATTTCAGTCTTTGTGTCTTCTTTCATCGCCCAGGTAAAAAGGAAGTGTTCTGAATTCACTGTGTAGCCCTGGACTTGTCTCTGATAAAGTAGCCACAGGACCCTCACAGGCTCTGTGAGTGTAGGGTCCTGGGGTCAGTGGGCTCGAGTTGGAATCCCCATCCCTGTCTTCCTGGGAATCCTTGGGGAAATTATCTGCCTCTTTGATCCTCAGTTTTCTCACACGTAAAAATGAGGCAATGCCCGCGTCAGAGGCAGGCAGAGCTCCTAACTCAGCACCGAACGCATACGTAGTGAACACAGGTACACTGCAGGTACTCTGGTACTGGGTGAGGGGTAGGGATGGTGTACTCAGAACCCTGCATGGAAGTCGACTTTCAGGTAAGAACTTGCTTTCCAGGATCAGGTGTTCATTCCTGTGACTCTGCCATGTAGAACTGTGTGCTTTGTTCTGCTGAGACTTCGGTCCCCGCTCTTGCTCATTTTTCTCCCCTATCATTGTTTGTAACGTAAAATCTGGTGGCAGCTCCCCGAAAGGATCCCTTTGGGCTTGTTGAGAGCTTAGTTCAAATGCATGTCTTGAACTTGTTTTAGACTTTGATAGGCGAGTGAATGACAACAAGACCGCTGCGGAGGAAGCACTGAAGAGAATCCCTGCCATCAACCAGACCATAATGGAAGCCAACGAAAAGACCAGGGAGGCACAGCTGGCCCTGGGCAACGCGGCCGCGGACGCCACCGAGGCGAAGGACAAGGCCCACGAGGCAGAGAGGATCGCCAGCGCGGTCCAGAAGGTGTGCACGCGCCTCTCCCCGAAACAGAGGCTTTGCTCATGGGTTTCCCTGGTCGTTTTCCGGTTTCTTTCCGGCCCCTAAGAGCCGTCTTAACTCTTTTCCTTGACTTCAGTACAATGATCTTAAACGGACCTTGTTTTTCCCTGCCTAGGCATTAGAGCAGGTAACCACACCGCCCGAGGAGGCAGAATCATCAAAAGGGTCTTTGACGCCAAGATTTCTGCTGTTGCAGGGGCAGCATCCGAGCTGTGAGGAGGGGGATGGCTTCGATGGCCCGTAGAGCCCTTCCTACAAAAAATCAGACTCTTTTTAAATAAATGTAGTTCTTTGACTTGGACGGTTGACATTTTTCAATCTCGTATGGAGTGCCAAGTCAGTACAGCTTTCAAGCTGCTCATCCAAGCATGCGCTGTGTCTAAGCCCCGCCTACTTAGAATTTCTGTGGGTTCCTCTACCTGTTGTAAAGAGTATTTTCTTCAGGCTGGCTTTTTCCCTGCCTGCAGGCCAGTCTGTTTATTTTATTGAAAGGAGAGATTGGTGCTGATTTTAAAATCACGTATTTCAGAATTATGGTCTTTTGTACATTATGATGAACTGCCAAGTAGAACAAGACCAGCTTTGAATTTAAAATTCATCCAAGTGAGTCCGATCAATACGATGTGGTGGGAAATGCACCCCATTTAAATGCTGAGCATTTGCCAGCTGTGTGACCATGGCTAGAAATGGAACTCACAGAACATGAGGTTTTCAGGGTTAAGAAGAGACAAAAATAGATTATAACATACATGTTCTATAACATATAGAACATACATTCACATGCAGTGTAGATTACTGCCTTGTTCTGTTGAGCCATTTCATAGATTAAGGAAAGGGAAAGCTTTTTAAACCGTGATTTATTTCGTGCCTAGAATGCCACCAGCACCAAGGCAGAGGCGGAGAGGACCTTCGCAGAAGTGACCGACCTGGACGGCGAGGTGAACAGCATGCTGAAGCAGCTCCAGGAAGCAGAGCAGGAGCTGAAGCGGAAACAGGATGAGGCGGACCAGGACATGATGATGGCAGGGATGGTAAGCGGGGCGGCACATCGGCCCACGGGCAGGGAGTGAAGGGAGTTTCATGAAAAAGAGTCTCTTTCATAGGGACTTCTGGTTTTCATTGTGTTTTTATGGTCAAGAACTGGGTTAGCAACTTACATAGAAGACTAAGAATTTGGACCTCCTGCCAGGTTCTTGCACAATGGTCCTGTCCTGAAGCTGCCCTCAGTTAAAATCGAGACATTGTTTTGCACGTCTGAGGTTTTGGGGTATTGAAGAGTAGGCAATTATATTTTGTGAATGGGTAATTCACAGAGAGTAGAAAATCAAAAAGGAGCTAAGAGGGATGCAGTGAAAAGGTAATTTCCTTCCGGCTCTTGTTCTCCCAGCTAACTTGCCCCCTAGAGCCAGAGATCAGTTTCTTGTGTAAAAGGACATTTTTGAAGCTGACAGAATATCCGTGATTTGCCCTGACTGGTGTGGCGCAGTTGTTTAGGCGTTGTCCTCCAAAGTGAACCATTGCTGGTTCGATCCCTGGTTAGGGCACATGCTAAAAAACAGGCCTTTTGCTGCGGGTCGTTTTCACCTTGGGATGGGAAGGAGAAATACTAGCCAGTTATTGTTAGGTAAAGAAAACTTTCAGGAAGTGATAACAGGAAGCATCCCTGTGCAAACTCCCTATTTTATTAGGCCCTTTTTTTTTTCTGAATTGTCCCTTTTTTTTCTGGATTGTCCTCATTTCCGTACCAAGGTGTGGCTCCAGTGGAAATTCCCACATAGTAAAAATACGTGTTTCTCGTATTTGCTGATGGTCTGTGGATTTCATCTGTAATCTGCTTGTAGACACATTCGTTTTAGAGCCTAGTGAAAAAAGAAGGCTGTGTTCTTCATAAGCTTCAAAAAAAGGTATAGACTCAATTCAAAGAATGGAAAGAAAGATCCATTTTTTGTTCCTTTTGGTAAGTAACCTCTACAGGGCACAAAGCACCGTCACACACTCTGTCCCGTCTGTGTTTTCATCCATCCTGAAAGGCCAGCATCGGGCCAGTGGTGTTGGAGTGTGTAACAGGGTTTGTTTTGTTTTTTAGCAAAAGAGCGCAGGCTCATGGTGGTTGCTGGGCAAGGGGCAGCAGGGCCAGCGCGGTCGTGCTGCACCCGGCTCGTCCTCGCTGGGTCCTCGTGTGCCCAGAAAAGCCTGAGGGGCTCCGTAGGGGTGCGTGGCTGTGATCTGAACAGAGATTAAGCATTGACTTGGGAAGGGCTTTACCCCTTTGCTTTCTTTTTCTGTTTAAACCTTTGGCACTGTTCCTATCCCAAAATATTGCATTGCCTTGACCCTGAAACTAGGGAGAACAATTACGCGGCAGGGAGCTCGAAGCCGCCCGTTTGGGTCCCGGCTGGGTTTGTTTGGGAGAGCATCTGCGTTCTGATACTTAGACACTTCCCCTTCCCTGGCCGGCTCCTGTGACTCACACACAAGTGTGTGTATTCAGGTTTCGTGGAATTTTCCCAAATATATTTACTTTGGGTCTATTCTTAAAACGTAAATTGTTGTGCCCCTGTGTGTGCGTGTGTGTGTGCGCGTGCCTGCACACGCAGGTCAGGGACACAGTTGTAGAACAGTGTCACATGATTATAAAAGTTTTCTGAGAGTAGGATATTTCCCTTTCTTTATTATTACTTTTAATCCTCACCCAAGTATATGTTTACTGATTTTAGAGAGAGAGGAAGGGGGAAGAAGAGAGAGAGAAACATTGATGTGTGAAACATGGACCAGTTGCTTCCTGTACACGTCCCAACTGGGGATCGAACTTGCAACCTTTTGGTGTTCAGGATGATGTGCCAACCAACTGAGCTACCTGACCAGGGCTCAGAATAGGACATTTTCAATAATCAAGTCCCTAAGAGTGTTCTGAAGGACATATTTGGGGTCTAAAACATAGTTTTTATGCTCATTCTTTAAAAACAACTTGTTTCTGCTTGATGGATTTTATTATCAATACACTTCCATGTATTCTTGAGTGAGAATGAGAGAAAAGGAGGTAATTTTGATCTTTGAAATACAAATACAGTTAATGTATACAGAATGAGTGCCTACTCGTGAGGTTATATGAATTAAAAGTAGCAACACCCTCAACATAAAGATATGACCCCCCACCCCCTCCCCCAAAAAGAAAACCTAAGTGAGAGATTGTGGTTTTATGAGTTAGGAAAGGGGAGAGCACCTGAAATTTGTTGGCTCCGTGGGGAAAAAATATTTCAAGAAGATGCAAACATACCACCAGGACCATGTGCATCATCCGTGGTTTCCCCCATCCAGGCCTCTCAAGCTGCTCAGGAAGCCGAGATCAATGCCAGGAAGGCCAAGAACTCCGTTACCAGCCTCCTCAACCTTGTGAATGACCTCTTGGAGCAGCTGGGTGAGTAGCCATAGAGTCATTTCAGGCCTCCTCCGATTCTTTGTACTGATCTTGGGATCTGCTCTAGTTGACTGCAAACAGATACTATATATAAGGTGAGTATTGTGTGAATTGAATCCTGACGTTATGCTGCATTGACTCAAGAAGGACTTACGCGGTCCTTCCGTGGAATCTGACCTCAGTGTTGGAGTCTGACTGTGGTCCAGGGACTCACAAATTTTGGAGACGGGCTGCCGGTAAGGACGGCTCATTTCTGGTCGAGGTTTACAATGCAACTGAACAGTGATTACTCTTAGCTCGTCCTGCCAATGAGTGTCTTTAAAGGGTTTCAGCGATGGGATAAAAGAACACTTTCAGCTGGTCATGACTTCACTGCCTGGAATTCTCATTTGCCAGTCGAAGGATGATCTGATGACTTGATTGATACTTATATGCCACAAGAAAGAAAAGGTTTGATTTTTCCAGGAACCCTCTTTTAATCTAGTCCTACAGGGAGCAGGCGTCGCTCTAAGACGGAAGTACTTTGCCTCCAGCCTTCATTATAAAGTGGGATTACTCCGGTCAGTTCAGCTTCAAGGCTGGGCGGCATCCATTCATTTCCTAGCCTTTAAAGTTTGGGCCGTGTTTCTTTTGGGGGATCAGTCTCACATTTCAAGAATAGTGAATTAGGTGCTAGCCAATGGGTTTTAAATGATAGCAAGCTAAAAGAGGTAGCTTTTCGTGGCAGAAGGGGCTGGATTTAAAGTCTGTCAGACTTGAGCTGGAGTCTTTGCTTTGTTGTGTATGAGCTGTGCGAACTCGGGCGGATGGCCGAGCATCCGAGAATCACTGCCGTACGGTGGCCGTGGGAGCAACTGTCAGGTGCGGTGTGTGTCAGGTGCTGATTTCTGTGCAGCCATTTGCTTTCATTTGTCACGGAAGCAGTTCCTTTCAAAAGAACCTCTTTTGCTCGCTCATTTTATGGTTTCTTTTTCTTTTTTTAAGATTTTATTTATTTTTAGACAGGGGAAGGGAGGGAGAAAGAGAGGTAGAGAAACGTCAGTGTGTGGTTGCCTCTCACACACTCCCAACCGATGGCCCACAACCCAGGCAGGCATGTGCCCTGACTGGGAATCGAACTAGTGACCCTTAGGTTCACGGGCTGGCGCTCAGTCCACTGAGCCACACCAGCCAGGGCTTTCTCGCTCATTTTAAAATGAAGCTTTGCTGAAATGATTTCAGTGTGATAACCCTGGCCATTTTCCATAGGAGGGCTCCTAATAATGTCTACCCCTTGAGAGCAGGACCTGACTCCCAGAACCGGCCCAGCTTCCCGAGAGTCTGTGTGCTGCGGGCTTGGGGTTCTAGCACACAAGCTTTTGTGTACATTAGATGGCTCTAAAATGACACACAGATTACATATGTAGACATGGAAAAGGCATTGTATGTCACCAGATGACCTTCAAAACCACAAATGAGGCTTAAGGTCTAAACCGTGGTAGCCATGTATTTAGAAAACATTTCACAAAAGCCATTTCTCAGAAGAGAATGGCCAGCCCAATAGTCATTCCACGTTTGTGCCATTCCTGCCCGCATAGGCTGGCGTCGGCACTTGCTTGGCGTTGTGCACGCCCTTGATTGATGAGAACAATCCACGTCTGCAGGCCACCTCGCCATAGTGGCAGCTGTGGGCGTTATACAAAGGGGGCGGGTGCCTGGGGAGTGGAGTTACAATCCTCCCTGAATGCGTCTGTTCTCTCCTGTGTCCTCTCTGACTCTTCAGGGCAGCTGGACACAGTGGACTTGAACAAACTCAATGAGATCGAAGGCACCCTGAACAAAGCCAAAGACGAGATGAAAGTCAGCGATCTCGACAGGAAAGTGTCTGACCTGGAGAACGAAGCCAGGAAGCAGGAAGCTGCCATCATGGACTACAACAGAGACATCGAGGAGATCTTGAAGGACATCCGCAACCTGGAGGACATCAGGAAGACCTTGCCGTCCGGCTGCTTCAACACCCCGTCCATCGAGAAGCCCTAGTAGTGTCTCCCTCCGGGGCTGGAAGGCAGCACTCCCCGCGGGGAGCCGTCGTGAGGCCGTACGGTGCCTTAACACAAAGATTACATTTTCAGACCCCCGCTTCTCTGCTGCTCTCCACCGCTGTCCTTTTGAACCAGGAAAAGTCACAAAGTTTAAAGAGAAGCAAATTAAAAACATCGTGAATCGGGAACAAAGGGTTTTATCTAATAAAGTCTCTCTTCCACCGAATGGCGCTCCCTTACCCACACTTCCCCTTCCGAGTCACGTAAGGGTGTGGCCTCCTACCTTGTGGTTCAGTGGCATGAGCACTTCGTGGGAACCAGTGTCTGCCAGGGCCGAGCAAGTCGCCCTCCCTTGCTCACTGTCGCCAACAGAACCTCCTCAGTCTCAGTACTCTTGTTTCTATGAAGGAAAAGTTTGGCTGCTCATAGTGGCATTGTGATGGCCAGTATATCGAGTCCATAGCTAAAGAAAAGGCATCTCCCGCCCCTCCTCCTTTTAAGCAAAAGTAACTAAAACATCCTGTGCCAAAGGTATCGGTCCTTTAGAATGTCGAGAGCCATCACCAGTTGTTGTAGCTACTTTGAGCGTAGGCCACTGAGCCATCCACGGGTAAGCATGCAATGGTTTATGACAGTCTCCAGGAGAATGTGAGACTGCAGAAGCAGGCTGAGCATTGTCTCCTATGGCAGTAATTGACTAGGAAGATCAACTTCTTTCAGGTCTATGGGCAGCTGATAGTTTAAATCTGGATGGGCAGCTGGTACTCGCCAACAGACATCTTTTGGTATTTTAGTCAGTGGGATTTATGCAGAAGAAACAGGGATATGATAACCACTAAAGTTTTCCTTTCGAAACCTAATTCTTAGAGCTTTGTTAGTAGGTCAGGATGGCAACTAGTCTTGTTATCAGGCGGAGAACAGCAGTTGGTCCCTAAGATCTTGACAAACAGAACGAAAGGAAAACAAGCCCTCGTCTTTTCCAGCACACGGATGAAACTTAGGCACAGCTCTTATCGTCGGGATCCCGTGTGTCCATTTCCCTCCCGCTGGGAAGAGATGAAACATTTGACCCTTAGCCTCAGTTTTCTTCCAACATCCCCACCTTCTAGAATCCCCCAAAACAGGGTTTGCCAAATCCAGGCGGCGGATAACTTGCACTCAGTAGCTCACGCGGCTGCTGACACCATCTAGTTCCTGCACTTTGTGGTTCAAACCCACTCCGCCGACCCTTCCCTCGGATGTGTCGAGGGAAGACCCTTACGCGGAGTTTCCTAGTGGGCTTCTCAACTTTTGATCCTCAGCTCTGTGGTTTTCTTTTAAGACCACAGTGTGACAATTCCCTGCCACACGACCCCCTCCTCCTTCCAACCTGCCTTTGAGAGTCATATATAGCCTTTAACACTATGCAACTTTGTACTTTGCGTAGCGGGGGAAAGAAACTATTATCTGACACACTGGTGCTATTAATTATTTCAAATTTATATTTTTGTGTGAATGTGTTTTTTTTGTTTATCATGATTATAGAGTAAGGAATTTATGTAAATATACGGGCTCCTCTTTCTAGAACGGCACTGTCTGCTCACTTCACTCTTCCCCTTCCCCGGCACGACATGTCTGGTTACCTCCTCCCCTTCCGTCTGCAGTCCTTGGGATGGCGCCTGTCCCCTGCTGCTGTGCCCTTCGCCTTGTGTGTGCAGCGGGCCGTTCCCCAGCGTTAACATCAGCCTGCGTCCGTCCTCCACAATCAGCCTGTGTCCAAAGGAACCCAGACCCCTGTCCCACTGTGGTCCCAGCGACCTTAACGACAGCACGGCATTATGCTCCATCTGGGCCTGCTCCGGAGCGGGAGTGCCGGGCTGCTGGGGTATATGGGGTATCTCCCACGTCTGAGTGGCTCTGGCCGGGCATGGGCTAGAAAGGCCCTTTCTGCAGTGGTTTGGGCCAGAGGGATCAGTTTGGGAGAGACAGCATGATTACTGAGAGCACGTAGCATCAGGGAGAGTGCTACAGATAGGGAGAGCCGTGCAGCTCGGTTCTGCCCCTTCCCATCTGCCCTTGCGCCCCAGAGCCGACTTCATGTGTTTTCTCCTGTCAGACCCTGAGCTTTCGCTTGCTTCTCTCGGGTCACTTCCACTAGCCCAGGAGGCGCGGCTCGCTCTTGCCAAGTTGTCACATCAGTGTTTCCTAGCTGGTTCCTCTTGTCAGGTGGCCATTTCCTAACAGACACGGTGGTCAAGGTCACAGGAAAAGGACCAGAGAGAGACTGCTAGGGTAGTTTTCCATCTAGCCTCTGGGTCAGGTTCACTCCAGTAAGTCTTAGGCCACGGTGAAATTTTTAGAACTTGTTGGCTTTTTGGTTGTGTGTGTGTGTTTTTTGGGGGGTTTGCTTTTCTCCTCCATCTGTGTGGTGTATTTTTAAACAGAATTTTATTTTTAAATAAAAGTTCTTTATAAGATGATACCTTGATTACACTTCTGCAGTATAGCCATTGTTTTATTGTACGGTTCCCCTGATCTGTATTTCACGTTAACACAGTTGACAGGGTGGCCACCGCGGACTGCTGGGTGTCACGGGCGCCGACGGACACTCCCTGGGATTGTGGTTTTTAATTCCACCTGTGGCCCTTTGACCTGTGCCTTCACTTGAGCTGTTCGGCTTCATTTCTGCAGTCTTGCTCTCCGGAGTGGTGAATAAAATGCAACACTTGGCATTTTTTTTATGTTTAAAAAAACCAGTATTTTATTTATAATAAAATCTGAATATTTGTAACCCTTCATATGTGGTGTGGCTTGAGTGCTGGGGACAGGAGATGTTTGAAAAGGTCTGGTGAAGGTAAACTACGCGTTTTCTTTAGGTTACCTTTTCTCCTGAGCACAATCCCATGTGTATGTGTGAAATTTATTTTTTTTGACCCTTCTCAGATCGGGGTGTTTTGGTATAGCCCAGAGGTTGGCAAATATTTATTTGAGAGTTTGCAGGCAGTACAGTATCTGTTACAACACCCTCTATTGTAGGAGAAGCAGCTGTGGACACCCTGTGACCAAAAAGGCACGTGGCTATGTCCCGATGAGACTGTTTACAAACCCAGGCCGTGGGCGTGGGCCTGCCGGCTGCAGGTTACCGCCTAGTGTGATCTCAAAGCCTGATTGGTGGCCACTGTGGACCACTTTTAAATCATTTGGGCTTCCTCAGTTAGCAACCGGATGAAAAAAGTTGTTTCACCTTCTAAATACACACGTCATAGCTTAAGATGGTTTCTTTGGATGATGAGAAACACTCAGACATGAAGGAATAAAAAGAGAAGGTGAGTACGAATGTGCTGGACTAGCCGGCCATCTGGGGGGCGGGGGCCGCAGGCGACACCGGAGCCCAGGTGAGCAGTGAGCCCAGGTGAGCAGCGAGCCCAGGTGAGCAGTGAGCCCAGGTGAGCAGCAAGCCCAGGTGAGCAGCGAGCCCAGGTGAGCAGTGAGCCCAGGTGAGCAGTGAGCCCAGGTGAGCAGCGAGCCCAGGTGAGCAGTGCCGGAACCTCAGAGACAGCAGGCGGGCTTCGCTCGCTCTTCTCTTCGTAGCCCTGCGCCCCTGTGGGTGACGTGTCACCTTCCCGTCGTATAAATCCTGTGACTGACATCTGCAAAGAAAAACCCCAACTCTTCCATTTGACTTCCTCTGAGAGAGCTTTAGAGGGCACTAGTTACTAGCATCTTACACGTCCATTTGTAGGATCCGGTTCAAATGCAAACACATCTTTCTAGTTACCTTGTCAGAGTGGTGGGTGGGATTTTAAGAACTTGCTCCTACTCCTTTGGTTTCAGGGTCAGCGATATCCCAAAAAATTGGTACCGGCGTAAGATGACTCAAAAGTCCCCAAGGCTTAATCATTAAATGAGCACTGTAGCCCCAAATAAATTTGAATTCACGAACTGCACCCCATTAAGCTCAAAGCGGAGTGCCTGGAGAAGTCCCCTGGAGTCAAGGAGAGTCATGAGGCAGAAAAGCAGGTGGCACCTTTATAAGGTGAGGCAAGACCCAGCCCTGGGGAACATCAAGTCTCTCCAGGCCCGTAACTGCTGGAAAGAAATGACACAATTGTACATGGTAGGTAATGTTGCCCATTCACCCTACGCAGGTTTGAATGAAGTGAGTATTAATAGTTGGAGTGAAAAATATGAAGCTTTCTAGTGAGTACTCTGTCCCCGGGGCTCCACTGGTTCAGCAGTCGCCAGCTAGAGTGCCTTATGTTTGTACTGGGTCTCCTAGAAGAGTTATACCCGCTCCGCACGAAGGAATAAAATTCTAAGTGGAAATCAAATGCATACTTCAGAAAGGGGAATATTCAATATTGAGCAGAAGTCCAAAGAAGGGCTTACAAGTCCTTGACTTGCAATTCAAATGCAAGAAAATCCAACACTTCAAGTGTTTAACCCTGTCTTTAACTCCTCTTTCTGCCTAGAATGTCCTTCCCCTCCCCCATGACCAGAAAGTCACCTGCTCTGTTGAAACTAGCCAGCCCTTCCTGTGCCCACTGCCCCTCCCAGCCTTGTACTGGCTTCCAGCATGGCCCTTGGACATGGGTTTATCGATCATGTGTCTCACCCAGGTCTCCCTCCCTCCCACTCCCCGGGGACGCAGGTGCACGGCCACACCCTCGGAGCTGCGGAGGCCCTAGTACTCACTCAGGTTGTCTTAATGAGGTGAAGGGGAACAAGCTTTCTCACCTGCCTTTTCTCCGATTCCTGGTACGTTTTTCCCTGCTGTGAGCAGAGGGGGAGGCTTGCGGATGGGTACTTGCCAATGCCCAACATGCCCACCTAAGCAGGGATTTGCAGGAAGAGAAGTAAAACCGCTGTCACTCACCAAATGGCACTGCACACACCACACACTGGGCTATGCAGTCAGTGACCTGGTCTGCCAAGCCCCTTCCTCCAGCTCCCCACCTCCCCACAGCCACTCCACATATCCCTGGCTTCTGGCCCTAGTTACAACGTTAATTCCCCTTCTTTTTCTCTAGCTCCTCAGAAAGCCCTGTATGGAGGCCACAGCAGCATGGCTTGTGATTAATTCAGGACAGTTCGCATTTATTTCTGTAAAAAGTTGAGCATCACACCGTGGTCAACAGTGTAACCCCCTGTTCCCACGACAGTGTCCAGGTCAATTTAAGTGATTTTCTGTGAACTGTGCCTGCTCATGCCTTTGAGGACCATCCTTCCACCCTCCCACAGTCCCTTTTCACCCTGGCTAGTAACAAGAAAGTCTACTGGTGCCTGGAGCCTCTAATGCTTTTGGGGCCCAGCCCGGGTGTCTGCCCTGACACGGAGATCCTTGGGCATCGCAGTAACTAACTGCGATCATCAAATCTTGTGCCACGGCAATTAAGGGCTAAGAATTTCTAGGGCAATTTCTTTCTGAATAGTCAGTGCCTGCCTTCTAGGATGTACAATCCCGATTCTCCTTGCTCTTCTCTGTCTGTTCCTTGTTCCCCACCATTTCTTCCACGGGCGTTTTTTCCCACCTGAACATGGTTTCTAAGTTGAGGTTCGTGCAACGTAAACATAATCCAGCCTCAGCAGAGCCGTCTGGGGTGGATTACACCCTCCAGGGTTGCTGAGCCAGCGTCCGAGATAAAGGCTCGGGGCAGACGGCTGCGATTTTCATGATTACATGTTTAGCCTGGTCAGGGGAGCCTGTGTTAGAACCTGCTGATGTCTCTTGGTTCAGACAGTCTGCCCTCCACGCCGCCTCCCTCGGGCCGATACAGAAGCTCGGAACTGGCCAGAGACGTGAGGTTCACCATGTAGAATGCCGATGGGCCGCCCTCTTTAGTTAAGTTTCTAGGGACTTTGGAAGGACTGGCACTATCAGGACAGCTTGCATTGTGTGCCAGGTTTGAAAAGGCACCTTTGTGATTATTTCCTGCCATTGGCCCCTCATTGGATTAGGGTCTCCATTTGCCCAGTGAGGAACTTTGAACGCGGTCTTCTGCTCCATCATCCTAACCACTGTTTGAGCCTGTTGCCCTATTCTGTCTCGTGATTCTGATCTATTTCCCCTCGAAGAACCTCTACTATACACACATGTTTTATTATAAGCTTCCCCAAATCCCCCCCTTTTTTTGAGAAATCAAAGCAGAATTTAAATACAAAGGTGGGGCAAAAGTAGTTTTACAGGTGTAAGTACATGAAACACACTTTATTCTTGTATTAATATTTATTAATTATTATATTATTCATTTGTATTACAACTGTAACCCTACTGTCGCCCACCCCTGTATGTTAGTCATGTGCCCAGTGTTAGGGAAACCGTTAGTGGCAGCATTACTTGAAACCTGGTTATCCTCAAGCAGCCTGGGCCACGTACACCACCCAGCTCGCGCCCCTCTCCTGCTGCTCTTAGCGTGTCCCTCCCTTTCTCTCCCCCCTGGTTAGGTTCAGGGATAAGGAGAGTAAAGCTGGCTCACCTATCTCGACCTTCACCTAGCTTCCTCTAATGTTAACATGGGATCGAACCACGGTACACTTATCCAAACTGAGAAATTAATATTGCTAGACTTCTCTTAACTACTGTCTTTTGCCTGCTTTTAAACACCTTTTCAAAGACCCCCAATTTAAAAGTAATCCTAAATTTTAGCCCTGGCTGGCGTAGCTCAGTGGATTGAGCTCGGGCTGCGAACCAGGCATCGCAGGTTCAATTCCCAGTCAGGGCACATGCCTAGGTTGCAGGCCATGGCCCCCAGCAACCGCCCATTGATGTTTCTCTCTCTTCCTTCCCTCTCTAAAAATGAATAAATAAAATCTTAAAAAAAAGTAATCCTGAATTTTAAAACAGAAACAGAATACTCAACATTAATGCCCAAGCTTCAGGACAATAGGAGGGTGGAGTCTGAAATAATTGATTTCACTCTAATACACATAAGACTTGTCAATGTATAACATATTCACAGTAAATTGCAAATAATGTCATTAAACAAATTGCTAAAATGTTCTTAAAGCTTCAGAAGAGAATTTTAAAGAGCCATCAAAATGAACATGTCATCCCTAATAATATGTGACAAATTTAAGTATTCATTAGAAGTGGGAGATTTACTTACAACAAAGATTACATTAACACTTTTCATCATTGCATATTTTCACACTTACAGAAAAATTGTAGGAATAGTACAAAACAGGCTTTGGCACTGTTTACCCGGATTCCCTCAATGTTAATATTTTACTACCTTTGCTGTACCCCTGCGCTCCCTCTTGCTCCCTGTGGAGAGAAGGAGGGAGGGGGAGATGGAGAGAGACTTTCTTGAACTGCAGGCACGCTGCCCCTTTACCTATAAATACTTCGTTGTTTATTTCCTAAAGACAGGGAACTTTCTTAGACGACGGCAGTACAGGTGTCCAAATCAGGAAATTGCCTTCGTTACACTGCCATTATCTAATCTACAGCCTTTATTCAGGTTGCACCGTGTGTGGTGGGCCGAATAGTGGGCCCCCAAAGAGATCCACATGCTAATCCCCACAGCCTGTGAATGGGTTAAATTATACGGCAAAGAGGAATTTAAACTGATCTTAGAATAGAGAGATTATTCTGGCTATCTTGTGGGCCGGTGTAATCACAGGGCTTCTTATCGTTGGAAGAGCGAGGCGGGAAGGGAAGTAGAAGTGAAGTGAGAAGGCGTCAGGAGCCAAGGAGCGGGCACAGGCAGCCTCCGGGAGTTAGAAAAAGGGTGAATGGATTCTCCCCTAGAGCCTCCAGCGGGGAACAAACCCTGCCAACCCCTTGATTTTAGCCCTGGGAGACCCCAATCAGACCTCTCACCAAAAGAATATAAGATAATAAAGTTGCGTTATTTTAAGCCACTAAATTTAGGGTAATTTGTTACACAGCCATAGACAACTAACACACCATTTATTTCAATAATGTCCTTTATAGAAAAAGAAAAATCTGAACTCATGAGTCGTGTTCAGTCGTCATGTCTTTTTCCTTTAATCTGGAACCGTTCCTGAGCCTTTGTATTTCATGTGGACATTTTTGAAAAATACAGACAATTTTGTAGCATGTTCTTTGATTTGGTTCATCCAATTTTTCAGTACATTAAATCAGGAGGCACGTAAGTCATTCCTGGCAAATGTTAACTCTGACGTTTGATCGGGGTGGTGTCTTCTAGCTTTCTCCATCATACGGTTACTGCTATCCTTTGTAATTAATGAGCATCTTATGGGGAGCTGGTTTGAGACTATACACATGTCCCGTCACTCCTTGTGCTCTTGCCCACTAGTTCCAGGATCCGTTGATGATGGCCGCCAAACGGATGTTTCCTACCTCCACCCTTCTTCCCGTATGGAATAATCGGCATTCTACTGTGAGGGAGAGCTTTTCCTTCTCCCCGATTTCATGTATACGTTTATATCACTTATGCCATTTTAGAGTCATGGGTTCCTTTTTAATTTAATGAGTTACAACATGTTCTTGATATTTATTTTAATTCTTGTTTTACTTTTTAAAATTTTTAATTGCATTTATTGGGGTGACATTAGTTAACAAACTTGTCTGTTTCAACTGCACAATTCTGTGATACATCATCTGTGTATTGTTTGTGTGTTCACCACCAAAAGTCAAGCCTCCTTCCGTCACCATTTGTCTCCCCTTTTCCCTCTTCTACCTCCCAGAACCCCCTTTCCCTCTGGTAATCACCATGCTGTTGTGTGTGTCCATGATTTTTTCCCCTTAATCCCTTCCGCTTTCTCACCCAGCTCCCCCAAACCCTCCCCTCTCACAGCATCCACCTGAGTATCTTGATTCTCATGTGTCCCTTGTCTGGCCAGTGAGAAAACCTTCAAATACCTTAAAGCTGACCCCTGTGACCTTTTGATATGTCCCACCTCTTTGAGCACTGTCTAACTTTTGGCACATCAAGACTTTCTCTGCCCTAGACCTGAAATTAGCCACTTCTCCAAGGAGAAAAATTAGGTTTCGTTCTCAAAATGTCAATAACCAAAAGCAGCAATAAAAGCAGACTATCAGGTGTATGCAAACACTCTCAAAATGGCTTTTAAACCAATTGTTCATCAGGCGGACTGGCTCTCGGTTTCATGGCCTGTTCTCTGCCGCTGACAACCCTGCCTTTCCATGCAGCCCGGACGGATGTTTCTGGGGCATGCCCTACTCTTGTGGCCGGCCTGGTCAGCGCTGGTGCTCGCGGGTCTTACGGTGCGGCAAAGGCCATTCATTAGTCTTGCTCTGAGGAATTTATTTAAACAGACAAAGAAACAAAACAAAACATAAAAATAGCACAAGCAAAAATGGAAGACCATGTATCTCTATAAAGTAAGAATATTGGGACACAGATGTCTAGGGGTATTATATGTATATTTTATGTTTATAGATTATATAAAATATATAATGTGAAATATATAATCTATAATAATACTTTATATTTGACATAGATTTTATATTTATATATTTCTAAAATATCAATATAATATGTATTTATATATATATATATATATAATATGTATTTATTTATATATATATATAAAATAAGTGAATGCTCAGGACTGTTCTTTTTGGGAAGTCTTTGGAGAACATATTCTACTTGTCTGACAGGATATATTTTCGGCTGTGTTGCAGAGAATACGACCTGGGAATGGGCCTGGGGACGTTGACCCAGACAGATATGAAAACGCGTGGATGGAGACTTCTGTGATGTGAACAGAGTAGTTGGGTTTCCCTCCCATCCATTGCTCCCTGCACGTTGAAGGTGCTCTGCGACCCCGGCCCTGTGGTCTCTCCTCCCAGGGAGAGCTCCTATGCTCTATGTGCTCATTTTCCAGCCTCCAGCTTTTGATTGATCATGCTTGGCTACTCTTGCAGGTGTGAAGTCATCATCTCACAAGACCTACGAAGAACATGGCAAATTATTTGGTTATTTCACACTCTCACTGCTTCACGGAGGCTCGAAAGGAGTGCTTGGTCATTCATCCTGGCCCAAACTGGAAAGATCATTATGAGATCAAAAAAGGGAGTTACAAAACCACTTGGTGTCTCCTTAGATTCTAAGAAGGGCTGGCAAAAACCGCTGTGGGCTTTACCGAGCTCTTGCATGGAGCCTTGTGAGAGCTGAGTATGCAACAAACTGGAGTTTGTATTCACCTAGGATTGTGGACCCTCTCCTAGAGTATCCCCTAGAGCAGTGGTTCTCCAAGTCGAGGCCCCGGATCAGCAACACCTGCCTCACCAGGCAGCTTCTTAGACAGGCACATTGTCAGCCCCACCCCAGACCCATGGAATCATAAATTCAGGGGTTGGGGGTGTGTAATCTCCATGGTAACAAGCCTCCTGTAGGGGATTCTAATGCTGTCTCGAGCATCAGAGAGTGCTATGTACAGTCCTTAACAATTCTCCCCCTCGTGTTCATCTTCATTGCTGGTATATCCTCTGTCTGCACGTTGGACTTAACCAGGCAGCATCTTCACCTTTCTCCACACTTGCTAGGAAACAGGTTGTAACTTCTTGGAATTGGGAAGGGAAGGAGTTCAGAGAGTGCCTGTGCTAATTACAGTAGTAGCCGCAATCAATATTAATTCTTCTCTGTGCTTCTTAAAACTACAAAGAAACTCTAAGTATTTCATAAACATCCAATCAGTTCTGTAATGAAGACGTTCCTCCCAGGAGTACAAAAGCCTTCACAAAAAGTAGGTGGAGACTGACACATCTATTTCTAAGATCTTTTAATGTTGAGATTTTCATTGCCAATTGATTCTCCACTTTCCACAAGATCTTTTAAATAATCATTTCTGTCCACTAGCTGTGGACAGACCAAAAGACCATGGGGTAGACTGGCCTTTTTACGACTCATCGTTCCCATCTAAGGCTGTGAATCTGGCGGGCTCGTCCTGAGTGGTTCCTCAAGCATAAAATGAAAGCAAGCCCAGTCATTTCATGTGGGCAATGCATTTGAAACCAGCATAACCAGCAAATACACTGAAAGGCATCAGAAGAAGTTCAAAGGAAACCTCAGGCCCTACCGAGTGGCCATATTCACGGACGAGTTAGTGGCGTGCTCTCAACTAAGTCAGCTTTGCCTGCGTTCCCTGGAAATGGGGCGGGCACAACCTTAGAGAGCTGTTCACGTGAATGGGTAAGTATGTGAAACCACGCAGAATTTCGTGTAACCAGGTAAACTAAGTTACCGTAGGGCCCGAAGCTTGTCTGATCTGGGGCCTTCTTTTAAAACAATGTATGAAATCACAAATGCAAAACTAAGTACAGGGCTGGGAAGGGGCCCGTGAGCTCCATCACCCCCACGAGGGAGACCCAGCAGCAGTGCCGATGCTGTATTCATTTCAAGCCAGGGAAGGCAGAGCCCTTGCTGCCTTTATGTCACCGTGTCACTGGGCGTGTGCGTGACTGTACTTCCTTTGTGCTGCAGACACCTCAGCGGCCGTCTGGCCAGGAGAACCTGTTTGCTGTGCTCACGGCATGACGATGTGGGTGCGGCTCCCGGGGAGTGCCCGGTCTGCAGAGTGTGCCCAGAGGCTGCAGAATCAGACTTCTGCCCGAGGAAGAAAGGGCGCCCCAAGGTGCGCCTTCACAGGGGCCACTGGGCAGGGCTGGGCTGGGCAGAGCCTTCGCTGGCTTCTCTGTTCATCTGTTTATCTCAGACAGGAAAGAGGCCAGAATGACTTTTTAAAGATCACGTCTTAATACAGACCTTCATCCACTTCTATCCTCAGGAAACTGCATGCCAGAGACAGCCCAGTGCTAGGGCTGCTTGGAGCTGCTCTCCGGCCCCCGCCTGCTCGAAGCACACCCCATGCTTCGCCCATGAACTCTGGGTGGGAAGAGCCTAGACCCTGACCTTTCAGCCAGGCCTTGGTGATGGGTGTATTTTTATTAAAACAGAATGGCAATGATAACAGAAATAAGGCTGTTTCGATGAATTAAAGGATCTGAACTCTTCAGCTTACCCTTCTGAGTCTTTTTCCAGAGCCCGTCGGATGGTTCAAGATGATAATAGTGTCTTTTATTTGGGGATCCCCTTTCACTGGGGACCCCAGAGGACCCTCGGGATATCGGCTCTCTTTGGGTGCACTGCAAAGAATATTCTAGTCAGAAAATACTGACAGGAGCTTTCATGCAGAAGTGGCATGCCTTGGTGAGTTCCCTTGCATCACAGGAAAATGACTTTTGATGGTCAGTGATCTAGCAATACAGCCAGTGCATGCCCGCCTGCCAGGCTGAGTCTACTCTGTGACTTCCGGAGATAACTGGGAGAGAGATGCACTGGCTGTGCCTGATGAACACCCATGCATCTCAGCCCGTGCCGACATCGGCATGAGGTGGACTCGAACTTTTGTTCCTGTGCCCATCATTACAGTATGCAGATTTTGAGCAAGTGTTTCTTACTGGCCCTTGAGAGGAGAACATCTGATGAGCTGCCCTTCTATGACTGTACACTGAGAAGCTCTGTGCGAGGCCCTGGCCTGTGTGGTGGGGACGGAGCAGTGTACACAACAGACAAAGCCCTGCCCTGATACCACTTGCCTATCAGTGGAGGAGGCATAACAAACCAGAGGTGGATGAAACGTGTAAGCTAATTATGTGGCATGCACTATGGTCCAGATGCTGTTCTAAGAACTTAATATTAAGCCTACAACCTGATGGGGTGAGTACTATTATTCTTATTCCCATTTTATGGATGGGAAAAATAAAGGACAGAGAGATTCTATCTTGACTCCCTGGAAAGTGACGCAGGCAGGCCTGGAACTCAGGTGGATGGACATCAGCCCTTACCTGTATCTCAGCGCCCCCCCCTCCCCCATCATAACGCCTCCAAGCAGCTCACCAGCGTCTAGCAGGGCAGAAAGTTCTATGGAGAGAAATAAAGCAGGGAAGGGGGAAGACCATGTTTGGGGCGTGGGGTGGAGCTTGCAGTGTTTCTACCAAATGGTCCAGAAAGACCTCACTGGGAAGGTGGCATTCAAGTAGAGACCTGAACCACGTGGAGAGCAAACTCCCACGATGCAATCGGGCACATAGCTGGGGTAAGTGGAAAGGGGAACAGAGAGGGAAATAAGGATTGGAGGTCCCACACAGTGCAGGGTATTGAGGCTCTTACAGGGACTTTGGGTTTTATGCAGAGTGGGGTATAATGCCATCGGAAGCTTTTGTAAGGAAGCATGGTGCGATCTAAATGAGGCTATAGCAGGAGTCTGGTGGCTGTGTTAAGGCAGACGAAAGTGGGCCGAGGGCAAAAGCAGAGGGCTGAAACAGGAAATCAATTGCCATCATCCATGCCAAAGACGAGGGGGGCTTAGCTTAAGGCAATGACAGCGGGGCTGATGAGAAGCGATCCGATTCTGATGACGACGTGAGGGCAGCATGAGATGCCCAGGTTTGCTGGGAGGGCGAGGAGTCAAGTGCTTGGACCGAAGGCCCAAAGCGTGAGAAGACTGAGGCAGAGAAGGCGGAGAGGGCAGAATATCGGGGGGCTCGGCTCTGTATGTGTTACACTGCGGAAATGAGTTACCCACCCAAATGGAGATTCCAACTAGGCAGTTGAATATGATCTTAAGAGCTCAGGGGAGCCGTGCAAGCAGACCAAAGATATAAATCTGAAAGTCATCAGCAGATAGATATGCTTACAGCCATGAGACACGCTGAGGAAACCGTGGGAGTGAGGACAGACAGACAGGAGGTGAGGTCCAGGGCCCGAGCCTTGGACAGCTTCTTTGACGCCAAGAGTGCACTTCTGTGAGGTCAGAGGGGTGAGCCGGCCAAGAACGGGTGACTTGTAACGTAGGAGAAAAACCACACGAGCACACAACGTCCTGGAAACAAACCAACAAAAAAGTGTTTTACAGAGAAAGGAACGATCCCTGGTGTCCAATGATGCTGACAGACCCCAGCAGACGAGGCTGAGGATTGGGTTCCCCAGCATGGCCGTTCCTGACGCCCTTGGCGGGGGCGGTTTCAGGGGGTGGTAGAGACGAAAGTTAATGGCAGGAGTTGGCAGCATTTCTTGAAATCGAACCACGCAGTTTTGAGAGAGACCGAGAGGAAAGGAAGCAGGGAACACGACTATTGGCGACTCTTCCGTTGTTCATCAGGGAGAGAGGCTAGAAGGCAGCAGAAAACCAGGGCAGAAGCTAAGGAGCAACATGGGCTCAAGGGGTGGCCCCTGTTTTTTAAGATGGGAAAACTGAGAAGAGAAAGAAAAGGCAGTGACACTGGAGAGAGGGTGAAGAATCCTCCTTCAGAGGGTGGGACGCTGTCCTTGACAAAGGGGAGGAGTGAGACCCCCCGAGGACCTCACACAGGGCACTGTCACCCGGAATAGTAAGACCGACACGTGACTGCAGCAGCGAGCAGCTGAGTGGGATGTGTTTTACCTGATCGTTTAGCTGGTTAAGCAGTCACAGTTCTCTCCTGCAGTTCTGTGCCTGTTGAAGTCACCTTCGTAAATTGTCCCAAGTTTTAGTTCTCAAACGAAGCCCAATGAGATCCTTGTCCGCGGGTGGCCCGTGCGTAAGTCAGGAATGACCCATCATGACTCGCCGAGGCCGCAGGTCTCTGCATCCTGCACACAGACATATGACTGGGGCATTCGAGGAGATTTCGTGATGGGAAGGGATGGGTTTGAATTCCATGCAAACGTTAGCAAGCATACACATCAGGGTGGATGAAGTACACTTGAGTCATTTCTGTAAAGCCAGTGGTTCACAATGGCATCCTTGATTTGCCCTAACCAAATATCGGATTACTACATTTCCCTTTGTGGTTGCCAGGAGCTTCCTGCAAATCGACCTTTTCAATGTACCTCTCCAGGTGAAGAGTTTGTAAACCATTTACCTAGAAAGTCTTAATCAGAACCCTTAACTTGACTGGATGTTTTTCAGCAACTGAGTTAATTGAAAAGAAAACTATCTCAAGAATATAAACTCCTATCAATGACCTCACTGAAAAAAAAATGGCAAAGAACTATCCCAAATTCTGAAGTGAGGGTGCTCAAAAATTCAGCTTCTACTGTCTCTATCAACTATAATGGTGGAGGGTAAAAATAATGGTTAAGAACGAACAAGATCCCAAATATTCCAGAAAGATGACAGCAATCATGCTTTAGACCACGTGGGGGACACAGAGAGGACCCCTAATTTGTTAAAATGAAGGCATGAAAACTTCAGTTTGGAGACGGAAGTGCCCAACTGTAAAAACAAATTGTTAGCAGGGGTTGAATTAGCCAGAAACCATATTTGACCCCATCGGCGTCTGTCCTGGACTTTCCGTTTAATCCGGGATTCTCCGTTTGTTCGTTTGTAGGAAGGGGGAGACTGAGGAGACGCTGAGCTGGCCAGAGTCATTCCTTTAAGAAATCTTCAGCGAGGACACACGGGAGCTGGTCAGAGGCTTTTTTCCACCTGCTCATTGCAGCGACCTGAGACGCCAGATCGAAATGAAGACCTGTCCTCAGGGGCTTGTGAGAGCCCAGAACAGGGACAGACAGCAGGTCACCGCAGGGAAACAGAGGCTTCCGTGTACCGTGCAGTGGGCGGGTCTCCAAAGGAACAGCTCAGAGCCACGGTGGCCTGGGCGACCGGGCTGCACGCCACCTGAGGGGCAGCGAAAGGGACCCGCTGAACACACGAAAGGTCTCTCTGTCTTGGGGTAAACTTTGAAGAAATGATCAAACACTCACCTACTTCTGTTAGCCGATGCTTTGCAAACAAATTTTGAATGGCTTTCAGAGAAAAAACAATCCCAATAAAATAAAGACAATGGTCACTAAAGTTTGAGCCGACCAGACAAAATGTAGGAACCTGATAGGCTGAGCCAACAAGACCCAGCCCCCATTTTCTTTCAAATGAAGAACCCCAAATGTATATCATATTGTTCAGGCTATAAGACTCACCCCCCCCCAAATTTGGGAGGAAAATGGGGGTGTGTCTTATAGTCAGAATGTAGCTTACCTGGTTCACTGTGGGGGGGGGGCGGGCAGGGTGGAGCAGAGTCACAGGTTATTAAATATTTTACCACATTTTTTGCTTCAAAATTTTTTTTCCTATTTTCCTCCTCTAAAACCGAGGTGTGTCTTACAGTCCTAAAAATACGGTACTTCTAGCTTTACAAGAAGTCTTCCTAAGGAGACACCCAAGTGTATTTTCAGCTACCCAGCCAGTTATTCTAATTGTAATTATTCCAATTCTAAGACCTGGGACGTAGTCTCAAGTCGTGGTGTGTGTGTGTGTGTGTGTGTGTGTGATCCTTAAGAGTGTGTCAGTGCTAGAGCACTCTATAGGTGTGAGTTCCAGGAGAGGCAGGGAGACGGCTTCCTCCCTGAGGAGGGGCAGTGTTATGGATACAAAAGGAACCGAGGGGCCTGGACACTGACAGCACATTTTCAGAACACGCTGCGGGAGCCAGTCTGAACTTGCCAACGGATTCTTTTCCACTTGGCTCACAGCTTTTCATTCATATGGGTTTGGACTATCCCACTTGTTTTATTTTTAATTCCTTATTCATTTTCAGGCCTTTCCATATAAGGGTTAACAAGGAACTGCTAAATCCATTGCTGGCATTTGTTAACTCATGTTTGAGAAATCTTGTTTTTGTTATATTCCCCCCATGCCCGGCTTAGGAATGCTCCCAGGTATTAATGCTTCATATTACAGAAAGGGGTGCGTGTTGAGGACATCAGTTTGGGGGAAGTTGGCTGTAGACTATTTTTTTAGTGGTGGTTGGTAAAGATGAAATAATTCATTCAAGCAAAGATTAGACAAAAAAGTCTAACTTACTTGAGGAGAAAAGACAACTCTCCCACACAGAAGAATTCTAAATCACTTACACAGATACCCTGCTCTCAAGGAGGGAGGGGGCAACCCACTACTCCTAAACTGCGGGCCGTGTGCAGTGACTTCCTCCCAAAGGGTCAGAT